TTCGCATGTGTATCGACTACAGAGCACTGAACAGGGTAACAGTCAAGTTTAGAAAATAGCACGGGTGTTTTCGAAAATAGATTGACGGGGGGGTTACCATCCGATTCGGGTCGAACCATCGGACTGCGCCAAGACGGCATTTCGGACTAGGTACGGGTCGTTCGAATACACGGTGATGCCTTTCGGACTGACCAACGCACCGGCGACTTTCCATATGACCATGAACGAGGCGTTTAGGCCGCTTTTAGATAAGGGTGTCATAGTTTACCTCGATGACATCCTAATTTACAGTCGGGACAAGCAGCAACACTTAGCGGATCTCGAACCATTTTTCAAGATTTTAGACAAGCATCGCCTACCAACCAAGGGTTCCAAGTGCGAGTTTTTCCAGGATAGGTTAGAATTTTTGGGGCACGTTATTTCGGAGGCTGGAGTTGAAATCGACCCAAAGAAACTGGATACGGTAAAAGCGTGGCTTCCCCCGACCAACATCACGGAGCTGCAGAGTTTTTTAGGGTTCGTTAATTACGTGCGTCGGTTCGTCCCCGACATGGCACGGTTGACTGCCCCGCTGACTGATTTACTGCGGAAGGGGGTCGCTTTTATGTGGGGGGGGGAAAGAGCATGCTGCCTTCTCTGCCCTAAAAAATGTTCTCTGTTCACCATCCATCCTGCGAATCGTGGACCCACACCGCCCTTTCGAGGTTGTTACTGACGCGAGCGACATCGCCATTGGAGCCGTACTGCTACAGGACTTCGGCAACGGCCTACAGCCCATCGCATACGAGTCACGAAAACTGCATCTGCCCGAGCGAAATTACCCAATACACGACCGCGAAATGCTTGCGATCGCGCATGCGTTCAAAGTGTGGCGCTACTACTTGACCGGCGCAGACGTGACAGTATGGACAGACCACCGATCACTACAGTACCTCCGCGCAGAGCCCCACCTCAACCCTCGACAAATTCGATGGCTCAATTTCCTCGAGTCAAATTTCCACTACACAGTCACCTATAAAAAAGGAGCCTCGAACATCGCCGACGCACTTACCCGCCCCACTGCCCAAATCCACGCGATACTACTCGCCCAGACCAGCCCACTACTGACAGGACTATTTACCCACGGATATCAAACAGACCCATTTTTCATAGGAGGAAATTCGCAGCAGTTCGCAACAGCCAGAGGAGTCTATTATGTAAAAATTGGGACCGACCGCATCTGGGTACCAGGGTACACACTACTACGGGAATTACTACTACGGGAATTACTACTACAGGAGGCACACGACGGGGTTACCTCGGGACATTTCGGGGTAGAGAAAACACGGCAGCAGCTGCAGTGGTATTATTACTGGCCCGAAATGTTGACCGATGTGCAGCGACACATGGCGTCATGTCCCACTTGCCAGATCATGAAGTCATCACGAAAACGGCCGGCGGGACAGTTACAGCCGATCCCACCTCCAGAGCGTGCTTGGCAGCAGGTGACGATGGACTTCGTCACGGGGTTACCAGCCGGGGCAAGTGGAAATGACGCGATCCTGGTCGTCGTCAATCGACTGACGAAAATGGCACACTTCGCAACCTGCAAAAAATCAATCACAGCCGAAGAAACAGCCCGCCTCTTCATCTCTACCGTCGTTCGACTACACGGGATACCAGCATCAATCATCAGCGACATTGACACGAAATTCACCAGCAACTTCTGGCGGAACCTGTGGCAGTAGTTCGGCACACGACTACAGTTTAGTTCACCGTACCACCCCGAAACAGACGGACAGACGGAACGGACAAACCAGACCATGGAACAGCTCATCCGGGCCATGTGCCACGACCCAAACACGTGGGAACAGCGACTGCCACTCATCGAATTCGCATACAACAACGCCCCATCACCCACGACCCAACAGTCACCATTTTACCTGAACTACGGACAAGACCCAACAGTACCCATGACCCCAAATCCCGACGACCCGGTCCCACGCGCACAACATGTGAAGAATCTAGCGAGGCTTAGGAGAAGTTGAGTTCGAGTTGAAGGAAAAGTGTCGAGAGAATGAGGGTTGAATAATAGCAAAGAGATACAACATATAGTCAAGAAACTAGGGGTGCACCACCAAACAGAAGACAAGATAAATACACTACACCTAAACCACAAGTAGTTACATAAAATAGCTTTGACACAACAATTCGCCAAAATCTTGCAAGCAGCACGGACCAGGGTAGCAGACTCAATTAAAAAAGCTAACATCATCGCTAAACGTAACGCCGACCGCCACCGCAAACCTATCACTTACGAGCCCGACGACTTAGTTTTGCTTGACACCCAGAATCTCCGACTGCCTGTCACCCCAAAACTCCGCCCCCGATATTGTGGGCCATTCGGCATAAGCCACATGATCACACCCGTCACCGCCCACCTCCTCCTCCCTGCTGTCTAGTACGTTAGCCCCTCTTTCCACGTCAGCCTGCTTCGCCCTTACGTCCCGTCCACGAGCCAACTGCCACGAAATCGCCCAGCCAGCATGACGCGACGGCCAACTGAACCGATAATCACCCCCGAAAAAATCCTAAGCCATCGAGTTCGCAACCCTTGAGGAGCCCGACGGATCGAATTCTTACTCTGCTGGAAGGACCGTACACCCACCGAGGACGATTGGGTCCCACTGGACAAAATCGAAGACCACCCCGTCCTCACCGAGTACCTGCATAGCCGAAATTTATGGGATGTACACGCACTTTCGTAAGGAGGACCTCCTTTAGGGGGGGGGGGTAGTGTAAGGAAAACCTCTTTTTCCTTACTTCGCATCCCTGCTCAATGCGTACATCACAGTCAACTACCGTTACCACTCGCAATTCTCGCATCGACAATCCGCCCGCCACTTTCGCTCGTCGTACCCCGACCTCACGGCTCGGCGGGTAACCCGCGCTCCGGGCCTCCGCTTCGACACATTTTCCCAACCTCAGTGCCAGGCCCGTCGCGCGATACCCACAGTCCATTAACCGTTACCACTGTAGCTTCGCTATATATCTTTCGCCCATTCCTTCGCTCATTGGACTTGTTGCTTCGACAGTGCAATCTTCGTTCGTTCACTCAATTGCACTCGTAACATATGGACTATGTGGCAGATTTGCATGACTTGCAGTATATACTAGAAGAAATTGGAGATGCGTAAACTGGAGGAATTGCAGAACAACAGAGAAAATTGCTGAGCACAAACTACTTTTTCGAGGTAAGCACTTGCTGGATAGAGCGAGCTGACTTTATCGAATCAGCGTCAAGCTGACGTTTTCGCGGGATGATAATATTATCAGGCACTGCAACTACTACAGTTACACTTTGCAGGGCAGAACGAAGGAAAGCGAGTCAGATAAGATTAATTCACGGTTTGTTGTTATGACGCTTCCACACGATGGTTTCGCCTAAGGCCAGCTTTATCAAGGGCAAGATGATCAGAACTGTTACTAAGACAGTGGTATTTTTTCGAGGATATGGTTAGCCTGGCCAGTTTTGATGAGTTGTGATTGCCGTCGGCTTACTATCCTGCACGCTTGCTGTTGCCGGTTTCAATAAATTTTTTCTCGAACTTGAGACGATTTCTCGTTCTCAATTTGCGATCGAGACTTATTCAGTGATAGTCCCACTAGTCGAAGCTCGACGGTGCAGTTTTGTTCCGCAATTCTAGCCATTTTTTGTTCGCGATGACTGCGAAAGGAGTCGGTTTTGTGATGAAAGAGAAAGCGGGGGGGGAGGATGCGGGGAGAGAGGAGCGCGAGATAGATGCGAGCGAAGAGATGGTACACGAGGAAGAACAGGGAGAGCAGGGAGAGGAGGGAAAGGCGAGGAACGAGGAAGAGGATGACGACGAGCGAAGAGAGGAGGATAGAGGAGAGGAGGAGATGGGGGAAGAGGGATGGAAGGAGGAGAGAGTGGAGGATGAGGAATTTTTGATGCGCTTGGTGTGCATCGATTATTACATGGATGCTCCGATTCCTGGCCTTGATGCTTCGTTCTCACCTTTCCACGGTAAAAAGAGATTTGCATTTTCCGTGGTTATACCTGACATCTCTGGTTATGCATCAGGTGACATCTGAGGGTTCTGGTTGCACTTTTGATGGCATCTGACCGCCCTGGTTGCGAATTCGGTAACATCGGATGGCTCTGGGTGCGTTTTCAGAGACATTTGACTGCTATGACTACACATTAGGTGACTTCTGACTTTTATGGATGCACATCAGATGCCATTAAATCGATTACATTGCAAATTGTTGATATCAGACTGCTTTGGATAATCTAATGGATATGGTGGCATAATAGCTGACATCAGACTGCTCTGGTTACACATTCGGTGACATCTGACTGTTCTTGTCGCACGTTTGATGACATTTGACTGTTCTTGTTGCACGTTTGGTGACATCTGACTGCCCTGATAGCAGATTAGGTGACCTCTGACTTTCCTGATAGCAGATTTGGTGACGTCTGACTTCCCTGAATAGCAGATTAGGTTTCGTCTGACTGCACTGTATGCACATATGCTAATCTCTGAATCCTTTGCAAAGGGAGGTCCATTTCTGTAGAATGGTATCAGATTTCAGCTTCTGTGTGTGCCACGTGGCAGGTCAAGCAGTGGTGTAAGTTGTCCCTTCCCTGTGTGACACGTGGCAGGGCGAGCAGTGGATAAGGTGCCAGTTGTGCGCATCTTTGGATCCACCACTATGGGGCAACGAACCTGCCTGCACTTGCACGAAGTACGTTTCGTATAGATGCCTGCATACACATGCATGGGGTACGTTTCGTCTAGGTATATGATTGAGTCAACATGGAATGGAATCCACCACCATGGGTCAACAAACCTGCCTACACTAGCACGGGACGGGGTATGCTATGCACCCTCCACATCTCAATCTCTTTCCATGCTGACGGTACCTTGCTGTCGTGCAGCACTGCCACTATGCGGCAAAGAGCTCTGCTGCAATCGCAGCTATTGCAATTCATCCAAATGTTTTGCACCGTTTTCACCATGATCCATCTTTTGCTGCAGGCTCTCCCTTATTTCTACGTGCCATACGATGACGACCTGCCTCAGGATCTGGCTAAAGGTATGGCTCGTGACGGTTGAGTATTCAGGCGCTCCTGAGTTTTTTCTCAGCTATGTGATGGCTGGGATGTCATAGGTGCCGTTTTTGAGATCAATAAGAACTTGGCAGCCGTGTTTCTACTTGCCTTGAGATGCTGCCGTAAGCTGAGTGCATGCCATTGATTCCTAGTTCTGTGAAATTTAAGACGAGCCACTCATGTCAGAACCTTTTCAAGTATCCCCTCACCTTGTCGTAGTTTTGAACAATTCTGATGTGTCAACCATGTTCCTGCTTTCTTTCCCGTTTCTCCCTCCTCTCCCCGTCCCCCATCTTCAACGCTCTCTCTCCTCACTTTAACACCAGCACGAATCTTCATGCGCCAGCTGGCTTCAGCACTGGAGTATGCACTCAAGGTACAGCATTCGAGTCTAGTGTCTAGTCTGATTGTCGTTAAACACCTATCACGCTACTCTATTCTACTGGTCGTCTTACCTTGTGCTTTGAGTCCACTGAAATGACTTGTCGCCTTAGGTTGCTGAGCGGCAGCACTCTGGTGTGAGATTTTGCCACTCTCGATCGATGTGTTGGTGTTTTCCTCCCTCTCTCCCTCTTTCCCGCACCCCCCACAACGACGCACACGACCTTGCGACACCCTCAGGTTGCAAGCCCCTATGCGCGCAAGAGGCAGCACGTGCATGCGTGCTCTCTGGTGCGAGCTCTGCCCTTCTACGGTTACCACCCCAACGAATGCCTCTTCATCAAGCTGGAGATGTGGGTGATGTGCGGTGTGATGCGGTGGGATGTGGTGTGATGGTGTGGAGTTATGTGTGCATGCGTGCTCTCTGGTGCGAGCTCTGCCCTTCTACGGCTACCACCCCAACGAATGCCTCTTCATCAAGCTGGAGATGTGGGTGATGTGCGGTGTGATGCGGTGTGATGCAGTGAGACGTGGTGTGATGAAATAGAGTGTGGTGTGATGTGGTGATGTAGGGGTCAGGTCACTCTCGCGCGAGCCCTGGCTTCCTATGGCTAACTTTGGCATGGGATGGCATGGCATGGCATGGCATGGCTGGCACGGCATGCATGCCCCATCCATGCAACCCCATGCCATGCATGCATAGCTGCGTTCACACACCCTGTACCCCATGCCATATCACCATGCCCTGCACTGAATGCAGGTTCTATCCGGATGAAGTGACCCGTGCTGCATTCATCCTTTTGAGTCGACTCAAAAGTCACCGTGCTCACACACCCTGTTCCCCATTTCACCCTGCTCTGCACTGGACGCAGGTTCTATCCGGATGAAGTGACCCGTGCTGCATTCATCCTCCAGGTGGGTGGGTGGGTGCCTTCACTGGAGTGTGTTTAATTCGTGTGGATGAAACGGAAAGGAAGTACGCACATGATGACTCCAGCATAAGTCATGCCACATCAACCTGCCTAAATGATTCACCAGGTGTACTCTCGAGGTATCCCACGAATCATGTCACATCGCAATGGAAAGTCTGACATGAATGACTTACCCATTGGTTGCACCACGTGCAGTCAGGAGCAGTGATGGGGCGAGTGTTCCAGCCATACGAGTCTCACATCCCGTACCTCCTGCAAGTCAAGGTGCAGTACATTCTCTACTGTACTGTGTTGTAAGCGTATAGTGGCATATGTCGTAAGTTTCTTTGAATTTGCTAACAGTACTTCTCCTCCAACTTTTCCCCAACATTCGTGTCTCCCATGCCCCATGCCCCATTTCCCATTACCATTACCCATGCTCCATGCCCCATGTCCCATGGCCCCCCATGCCCCATGCCACTATTTTGTGAATCAGATAGACTACAATCTCGTGGGCATGGGTCTCGTCCGCCTCTCTCAAGTCCTTTTCAGACCACCCCTTCCCACGCACCCTCCTCCTCACACCTCTCCTCCACCTCCACCTGCTGCTGGGGACGAGAAGAGAATCGGAGGGGTGTATTTCGCAGGAAACGTCCCTCCAGGGTGCTTCTGGGGGGCCAGAAGGCAGGAGGGCGGACGCACATTCGAGGCAAGGGGAAGCATGGGGAGGAAGAGGGGGAGATGGTGTGAGGAGAGTCTACCTGAAAGGCGTGAAGGGCGTTCAGGGATGGACGGTGTGCGTCGGCAGAGTGTGTGCGAGCTGGAGGCGGATGGGTGCGTGTCAGGTGGGTGGGAGAGGCGAGAGCAGCGTGGGGAGATGCCTTAGGAAGGCGGAGGGGCTGGGTTAGCAGAGGGATGGTAGCAGGAGAAACCAAGCATGCAAGATGGATGCATGCTGACTTTTACTGCATGTGCGAGTCGTGATTACACCGCATGCCGTGCCTTGTTGTAGTCATTCGCCACAGCACTTGTATTCTCACTATGAAATGGGTGACATGGTGAGCGGTAATAGGATTTTGGAGTGCTCTGCTTGCCTTTCCGAGTCCCTTGTCCATCCATCCATGGTTGAAAGGATCGTGCACTTTCCTGCCCTACCCATGCTTCCCTGCAGCATGTCCTTGTGTGTTGTGCGTGCTGTCACCGAATATGCACGGTTGTGCATATAAGGTGCCAGAATCAGGGTGGTGTAGTGGAGGTGTAGCTATGTTGTGTTTGCAACTTCGAGGAGAGGTAGGTGGGGAACAGGGAAATTGACGCGAAGTTGGTAGGAGAGCACCTGGGGTGAAAACCTTGCAACCAATGAGAACGAACCAACCCAGGCTCGAGCCGCACATTGAGAAATGCACGGTTCGAGCCAAGGTCAGGTAAGTTCACTCGCACACACACCTCTGATGCTTTCTGGTTGTTATCCTTTCGTATAGTGGACTATTGTTACCTTACCAGAGCAGGCTGGTGACACACCACTCAGGGAGGACCTTAGAGGTGAGAGTTCTGTCGCTTTCATAACAACCAGAAAAGTGCGCGTACAAGAATGGATGTGTACGAGATGCGTTACAGCAGGAACAATGGTCGTCGTGAGGCGGATCGCTCGCAGCGCGATCGCTCACGTGAGCGCGGGCGCTCGCTGGAGAGGTCGCCACGGCGGCCTGAGCGATCGCCGCGGAGGCCGGCCTTTCGCGCGGATCAGGTCCCTCTCGCGCCAGATCGCCAGGAGGGAGGTTCCGCCCGAGAAGGAAGAGGCGGATCCGGATCCGTCACGACAGGGAGTGACCCGTGGCGGACGGACGGGCGTCACGGAGCGGATGGCGGTCGTGGGAACCGCCAGGACACGGGAGCATACTGCTCGCCGGAAGAAGGCTATCGCCGTCGCGAAGAGAGAGGTTGCGGGCGAGGTCTGGAGGGGCTCTTCTCGGTCGCCAAGGCGATCTTGATGTGGATGGAGAAGACGAGGCCGACTCGGCGAATCGAGTGCGGGAGACGAATCGTGAAGGCGAGACCGAGGGTGATGACGAGCCCCAGGAGGAAGGCGCTGCCGAGCAGCGCGAGAGGCCCGCTGGAGCTGATGACGATGATCCCGCGCAGGCGGGCGTGGCGACGGAGCCGAGTACGGCGGAGGCGGAAGAAAAGGGCGGTACTACCCGAGACCTGCCGCGCGACGAAGAGAAAGGTGACGGCGGGGGGCATGGCAGTGGCGCGCACTCTCCGGATCCCCGTTAGCAGCGTGTCGAGGGACGTGGCGATGGCGCGCGTCTGCCTTATCCGCGCCTGAAGCAGGACGGAGGGCGTGGCGGCGGCGCGCGCTCTCCAGATCCGCGTCAGCAGCGTGGCGAGGGACGTGGCGACGGCGCGCGTTCGCCTGATCCGCGCCTGAATCGGGACGGAGGACGCGGCGGCGATGCGCGCTCGCCAGAGCCTCGGCCGAATCGGGATGGGGGACGCGACGGAGGCACGCGCTCGCCAGATCCACAGATGTATCGGGAAGGGAGGCGTGGCGGCGATACGCGCTCGCCAGATCGGCGGCAGAATCGTGACGGTGAACGCGGTGGCAGCGCGCGCTCGCCAGACCCGCGTCTCCCGCACGAGGACAGGAGGCACAGAGGCGGGTACCGCTCGCCAGGGCTACGGCGACACCAGGAGGGTGGACGCAGGGAAAGTGTGCGCTCACCAGATCCGCGGAGGTATCACAACTGGAGAAGCGGAGGGGAGCGGCGCTCTCCAGGTCCTCGTTACCCTCGTGATGAGAGACGCGGAGGCGACCACCGCTCGCCGGATGTGCAACGGTATCATGAAGAGAGGTGGGGAAGCGAGACGCGCTCGCCCGACTGGTACCGGCAACATGAAGAAGGCCGAGGTGGCGGATACGGCTCGCAGCTGCAGCAACAGAGCAAGGATGAGGGGCACAGTGGAGGGTGCCGCTCACCTGATCGGTACTGGCAGCATGACAGAAGACGTGCCAGTGAGGGAGGACGGGATCGACGTAACAGCAGAGAGGAAGGCAGCGGGCTGATGCACAGCTTAGAACGGGCCAGAGAGGCGAGGGAAGGAATACGGTGGGCGAGAGAGAGAGGAGCGCCAGGGAGATCAGCAGGAGGGCCGAGCGAGGCGTGGGGAGAAGGCAAGGGAAGCACGATGATGGCCCCGAGAGTGGAAGTGCCAGCACGCTTCTCAGGAGATCAGCGCACGGGCCCCTCGCTGAAGAACTACCTGATGCAGGTGGGCAACGTGCGGTACAGATGCGAAAGGAGCGGCATGGACTCGGTGGACTTTTTCCTGAGTCTGCCAAACACATTGGAAGGGGAGGCGGAGACATTGTACAGGATGAAGATGGATGAGCTACTGGAAAGGGCAGGAAGGTATGGGGAAGACCCTACTGAAGCATTCCTGAGACGGCTGAAGCGGCAGTTTCCAGGTCACACCACAGAGAAGGTCAGGGAATTCCAAGATTTCAGGAAGGGGCGGGGCGAGTCACTGCTCACTTACTATAACCGGCTGGTCAACCTGGCGGAGGATGTGACTTGCGCAGACATGGCCCTGCTCGTGAGTAAATTCCTGGATGGGCTGGAGGGCACTGTGGGGAGCGGACTGCGGATGAAGGTGTATGAGATGGGAACCGATACAACGCTTGAAGAGGTGTTTGAACTGGCAGAGAAGATGGAGCTGGCGCAGAGGAAATATGAAGCATACAGGTCCAGGCCTGCGGAGCGAGGCAGGGGGCCTACATGGGCTGCGGCTATAATACCGGAGGAGAAGGACAGGGCAGCGGGAAGAGGGGAGAGTAGGCCTGACACACGAACATGCCACAGATGCGGGCAGCCAGGACACCTGCGTCGAGACTGCAAGAATTGTGATTCTTGTGGCAAGCCGGGGCATCGGCGGCGGGAATGTCCAACGGCGCCGAAGTGTGAAGTCTGTGGGAAAGGAGGGCATGCAGCAAAGGAGTGTTATCAGAGAGAGGGAGCAGCGAAGAAGTCGCCGGAAGATTTGGAGAAGCAAATCAGCAGGCTGCAGGCCCAGCTGCAGGCAATGGGATCACGACGGGAAGCTGAGGCGGGGATGTACGCCAAGGAAGAGGAGGAAGAAGATGTGGAGCAGGATGAAGAAGCCGCATTCATGGTCTGGGCGGGAAGAGGAGAGAATGAGATGGAGCATGAGGAGCAACCAGCATACATGGCATGGCGAGGAAGGGAGGAAATGGGGTTGCGCAGCGGAGGAAAGGATGCACGGAAGGAGCAGGGGAGAAAGGAGCGGGAGAGAGGGTAGAAGCCGGAGGAGCAGGAGGAAAAATGCACTGCAGCACGGCACCCCCAGGAGAGATTAGCTTGTCAGACTTCCGTGCTGCTGATCCAAGGTGGTGCGCTGTCAGTGGAAGGGGAGAAAGCTAAGACGGCGATTATAGACACTGGCGCGCAGAGCGTGATACTCGGAAAGGGGATAGCCGAAAAGCTGGGACTGTGGGCACCTGACAGGCATGTGGTGAAGGGGATGTTAGTGATGACAGCAGAGGGGGGGGAGTCGAAGTGGATGCCCTGTACGAGGACTCCAATAGAACTGACGGTGCTGAAGGGGGAGAAGCATGAGACACCGGTGAGAATCAGGTGCGGGATCTCAGAGTCAGAAGACTTTGACGTCCTGGTGGGCATAGAGATGATCTTTGCTTTGGGCATGACCATCTGCTTCTGGAGGGAGACAGTGGAGTTCAGAACCAGGTGGTGGAGGAAGGGTGAGCCACTGGGGCAGCTGCCGGTGCAGTTTGTCAGAACCGAGCCAAAAAGGGCCTACAGGGCAGATCTGAAGGAGGTGACAGCGAAGCAGGGGGCACAGAAGGCTGCGACAGGCAAAGGACAAGGTGAGGTGCCCAGGATGCGTTTCATGGACGAACCTAGCCAGCAGACCGATTGGCAGCAGCCCATTCGGCTGGTGGAGCTGTTCGGAGGAATCGGGGCGGGACTGGCAGCAGTGGTGAGAAATGGAATTGCAGTGAAGCAGTGGATTTACGTGGAGAAAGCACCGGAAGTGAGGAAAATGGCAGAGCATCAGGCGTGGGAGTTGCACAGAGAGTTCCCGAAGCTGCTGCAGGGAAAGGTGATCAAGGCAGCAATGAGCAGAGGAGTGAATGATGTCAGGGCCATCACGGAAGCTGAGGTAGCAAGCTGGGGGCACGTGGACCTATTGGTGGCAGGGTGGGAATGCCAAGGGGTATCATGGGCAGGGAAGGGCAAGGGTGAACAAGACCTACGAACACAGCTGATGGAGGACCTGTTCAGAGTCATGGAGTGGGTGCAGGCTAGGCAAGGCAGAGTGGCCTACCTGCTGGAGCACTTGGATATGGAGGGAGACGTGAGAGAACCGATAAGACTAGTGAGGGAGAGAGTGACCAGACAGGTGGGAAAAGGAGTGAGCAGTGATGCGGCGCGGATGGGAGCATATGCGCACAGGCTCAGGATGTACTGGCAAAATGTGGTACCAGTAGAAGATCTGCAGAAGGAAATAGAAGGGGTGCAGAGAGCTGGGGGAAGGAAGCTGAGCGACATATTGGAGCCAGGAAGAACGCCAGCACCAGTGACCAAGAAGGGCTACAGCAGGCATTATCCCTGCAACCAGGTGGGACAGGAAAGGCAGGCACTGCCCACCCTGGTGTCATATGAGGGGGCAGCAGGCTATCAGATGGATGGGAAGCAGCCAGGCCCAGGATTGGTGTATGACCACAGAAAGGAACGGTGGGAGGAGCCCACGGCCTTGGAGAGGGAGCTGGCCATGGGGTACAAGGAGAACGCGACAGCAGCCTCGGGCGTGAGTGAGAAGGAACGGAGACGGGCATTGGGGAATGCCATGGATGGGTACATGTTGAGGTGGTTGGTGCAGCGGATGTGGAAGGAGACAGTGCTGCACTGGGGACTAAAGGAGGGAGAAAACACAGTGGCAACGGTGAGGCACGGGGTGTGGGCCTGCCTGCAGAAACAGGAGCCAGAGTGGAAGATAGGTGAGAGCATGAGCGAAGAAGGAAAGGCAGCGATGCGGGCACTGCTGGCTAGGCACCGGAAGGGCTTCGCCTTCATACTGCTGGAGTTGGGGAAGTGCAAGATCAAGGAGATGGCACTGAAATTGAGTAGTGACGAGCCGGTGTTCCACCGCAGGAGGAAGATGCCACCAGGGGATGAAGTGATCTGCAGGGAGAAAATAAAGGAGTTACTGGAAGCCGGACTGATCAGGAGGTCAGAGTCAGAATACGCTGCCCCAACCGTGGTGGCAGCCAGGAAGGACTTGACAGGCGAGGTGTTGAGTAGGAGGATGTGCGGGGACTACAGGGATCTCAACAAAATTACAGTGCCAGATAGATACCCAATGCCGATAGCGGAGGAGCTCTTTGACAAGCTGGCCGACGGGGTGTTCTTCACGACGCTGGACCTGCGACATGGGTTCAATCAAATCAAGATCAGAGAGGAGGATGTGAAGAAAACGGCTTTCCACGGACCGGATGGGCTGTACGAGTGGCTTTACATGCCCTTCGGGCTGAGGAACGCCTCGGCGGTGTTTCAGAGAGTCATGGACGCAGTGCTGCGGGGAATAGTGCACGCGGCGTGCTATATTGATGATGTCGTGATCTTCAGCTTGAGCGAACAACAACACCTGGAGGACGTGGAGAGGACCTTGACCGCCATAGAAGGGGCAGGGCTCACCTGCCATCCCAACAAGTGCAGGTGGGGGGAGCGGACAGTGCTGTATCTTGGGTATGAGGTCACAGGGGGGCAGATTGGCATCCAGCAAGCGAAGGTGCAAGTGCTGAGCAGGCTGAGGGAACCAAGAGACAAGTCAGGGTTGCGTGCGGTCTTGGGCTTCCTCAGCTACTACAGGCGCTTCGTGCCAAACTTCAGCAAGCGAGCGACAGTACTGAATGGGATGCTGCGGGAGGACAAGGCATGGGAGTGGGGAGAGGAGCAGAGACCGGCACTGCAAGACCTCATGACAGCCGTGAAGACAGCAACAGTGCTGCGGCTGCCAGCAGCGGACCAGCCCTTCATCCTCTACACAGACTGGAGCAGCCAAGGGATGGGGGCAATATTATGCCAGGAGGTGGGGGGAGTGGAGAAGGTGGTGGCCTACGCTAGCAGGAGCTGCAACCCGGCGGAAGCACAATATAGCTCATACATTGGGGAAGGGCTGGCGGCAGTGTGGGCGGTCGGGCACTTTCGGATATACCTGCAGGGCCGAGAATTCACCTTAGTCACTGACCATCAGCCACTCACCTGGCTGATGACGACACCAGGGCTGACAGGCAGGAACGCGCGGTGGGCGGTGAAGCTGCAGGAGTATGATTTCAAGATCAGGCACAGGCCAGGTAAGACGCTGCAGCACGTTGACGGCCTCTCCCGCAATCCACCGCCGCTGGAAACGAAACAGGCCACCCTGGGGAAGGAAGAGACAGAGCAAGAGCCGGCACGGACCCTGATCTTACTAGCAAGAGAGGTGGAGCAGACAGGGGCGAAGGGGAGCAAGGGGCCAGCCGACATCTGGTTGGATGCAAAGGCAATGCAGTGGGTGAAGGGAGAAACCGAGGAGGATGAAACGGTGCCAGAGAGAGTAAGGGCACGAGGGCACCACTACAGGTGGTATCAGCAGCAGCTGCAGATCAAGACGGAGGAGGGGTGGAAGCTGGTGCCAGCGCCCGAAGACCGTGAAGCAGTGATCAAGGAAGTGCATACAAAGCTGGGGCACTTCGGGCACGAGAGGACCGTGCACCTGCTGAAGACGAGCTGGTGGTGGGAAGGGATGCGCAGGCAAGTAAAAGAGTGGGTGGAGGGGTGCGAGGCTTGTCAGAGGAGCAAAGCAAACCTGACGCAGGCCAAGGCAGAGCTGCACTCGCTGCCAATCTGCGGACTAGGGTTCCGTTGGTCCCTGGACCTCGCGGGAGAGCTGCCACTGAGTCGAAGCGGGAACCAGTACATCGTGTTCATGGTGGAGCATGTGAGCAAGTGGCTGGAGGTGCGAGCGATCCCTAGCAAGAGCGCGAGGCACATTGCAGCAGCCTTCAAAGCGCAAGTAGTGTGCCGATTTGGAGCATGTGGGGAGGTACTCACCGACCAGGGAACAGAGTTCCAGGGGGAGTTCAAGAAGCTGCTGGCGGAGACCGGCATCACGCACCGGAAGACCTCCCGCTATCACCCGCAGAGCGATGGGCTGACTGAGAGAGCCGTGCAAACCTTCAAGCGGGGGCTGCGGGCCTACGGGGAGCAGAGGAAGAGGGATTGGGATGAGGAGCTGGACTGGATCGCGGCTGGGTACACGTTCGGGAAACAGGCAGCGTTGAAGGATCACTCCCCGTATAGCCTGCTGTTCGGTCGAGAGCCGATTCTGCCAGTGGGAGCACCACGAGTATTGACAGATACAGTGACAGCGGGCACGATCAGAAACTGGGTAGCCCTGTCCGAGGTGAGGGCGCGCTACATGCGCTACATGATGCCAGCTGCGTTGGAGAACTTGCACACCGCGCAGCTCAGGGACGCAAGAAGATACGAACAGAGGCAACACAAAGGAGAGGGAAGAATGGCAAAGGATGTCTGCGAAGGACAGGAAGTCTATCTGAAGAGGGCTAAGCAAGACACCCTTGACGTGGGGTTGGGGACCACCCGCTGGAAAGTCAAGGAGGTACGCCCCTCAGGGGTGCTGGTCTTGGAAAACGACACCGGAGCGCAGCTGAGGGAACATCAGACGAACACTGCAGTGATCAAAGGGTCCGGGCCTCAGCGTACTGGTCCTGTGACCCGCGCTCAAGCCGCTCGAGCACGGGCACAGGAGGGGGCAGAGAGTGGCTGAGGCAACTGAAGGAGCTAAGGGACGAAGAACATGAGGACTAAGGCAGATGATGAGGGTAGAGCTGTATCTCCGACAGCTGTCACCGAATATGCACGGTTGCGCATATAAGGTGCCAGAATCAGGGTGGTGTAGTGGAGGTGTAGCTATGTTGTGTTTGCAACTTCGAGGAGAGGTAGGTGGGGAACAGGGAAATTGACTTGAAGTTGGTAGGAGAGCACCTGGGGTGAAAACCTTGCAACCAATGAGAACGAACCAACCCAGGCTCGAGCCGCACATTGAGAAATGCACGGTTCGAGCCAAGGTCAGGTAAGTTCACTCGCACACACACCTCTGATGCTTTCTGGTTGTTATCCTTTCGTATAGTGGACTATTGTTACCTTACCAGAGCAGGCTGGTGACACACCACTCAGGGAGGACCTTAGAGGTGAGAGTTCTGTCGCTGAGAGTGGCTGAGGCAACCGAAGGAGCTAAGGGACGAAGAACATGAGGACTAAGGCAGATGATGAGGGTAGAGCTGTATCTCCGACAGTGCGTGAGTGCACTCATGCATGCAGACATGGAGAACGTGAATGACCTTATGCCTTGGCTCAAATCTCATGTCTCGTTGATCCTCCCTGTCACCTCTGTGCGTACACACATGCGTGCATTATGCAATGCGCGCTCACATGCAGACATATTGAACGTGAATGACCTCCTGCAAGTGCCTCTCCACGAGGCTGGGGATGACATTCAGATGGTGCCCTCGCTCGCCCCCATCTGGGAGGTATGCTCTTCTTTGGGAGGTATGCTGCCTGCCTTGTGTTGTTTGCTTCCTGCCCATTTGTGCTTCAGCCCCACTGCCTCTGTCTTTTGCACCTGGTAGGAGTTTTGCTTTACTTCAAATTTTTAACCCATGCTCCCATTTCTGCGGTATGAGGCTGCCATATGCCTCTGTCAGCTCAGTGACTGAGTGAAGATTGATAGGGCCTCACACTGTGGAGTCAAAATTGACACGTCTCTCAACTCTACTCTACTTTCTTTGCTGTCTTGCAGGATGAGCGGCGACGGACTGCAGCTGAAGCCGCAAGCAAAGCAAAGGGCAGCAGCAGCAGCGGCGGCGGCAGGCGAGGGAAGGGAGGGAAGGCCAGTGGCCTGGATCCTCCTGGGCTTTCATCAGAAATTGGGGGAAAACAAGGAGCTGAAGCAGCAGCAGAAACAGCAGCAGAAACAGCATCGGAAACAGCAGCAGAAACAGCAGCAGAAGCAGCAGCAGACACAGCAGGAGAAACTGCAGCAACGCCTCCTGCTGCCGCCACTCCTGCCACTCAGAGAACGGAGCCGCCCCTTAGCGCCCTGGACAAGGCTCTTAGGAGAGCGGTGTACGAGTTGGCTGAGGAGGAAGCGGCTGTTCTGCGAGCGAGGGAGGAGAGGCGGAGCAGGGGGATAGGGATAGGGATAGGGATAGGAATGGGAATGGGAATGGGAATGGGAATGGGAAGGGGAATGGGAATGGGAAGGGGAATGGGAATGGGAATGGGAATGGGAATGGGAATGGGAAGGGGGAGGGGAACGGGAAGGGGAAGGGGAGGGGGGAACGAGAGTTGTCAACAGGGAAATGAGGAGTGGGTGGAAGGGCAGCGAGACAGGGCCCCTGCCACTCGCCGTCTGTTTTCCTCGCAGCAGGAGGGAGAGCTGGGAAATGGGGAGGAGAGGGGAGGGGCGGGAGGTGAGGTAAGGGAAGGAGCAGTGGAAGAGGGAGGAAGAGAGGGGAGGGATGAGAGACGAAACGAGGGGAGAGAAACGATTGGCGGAGCAGCAGAGGACGAAGAGGAGGAGGTTAGGCGGCAGGAAGAATTACCTAAGAAGGAGGGGATGTTATCTCCTAAAGGGAGGATTGCCCCTTTGACTCAGTCGCCTGTGGTCTCGAAAACCCCTTTACAGTCAACTCTGGTTGCTGCTGAGAGCCCTCTACTGTCATGCTCCCAGCGTGCCAATCTGCCCGCCCCAGCACAGACAGCTTCTGGAGAGCACAAACATCTGGCTGTTGCTGCCGAGAGCCCTCTGTTGTCGTGCTCTCAGCCTGCGAACCTGCCCTCCCCAGCACAGACAGCTTCTGGAGAGCACAGACAACCGGCTGTTGCTGCTGAGAACCCTCTTCTGTCATGCTCCCAGCCCGCCAACCGGCAATCTCCAGCACAGACAGCAGTGGGAAACATGGGCTTGAATTCAGGAGGAAGGGCTACGCGTGATGGCTTGGATGGTGGGGACAGATGGGTGGAGGGCGGTGGTTGGGGGATGGAAAGTGCGAGGAAGCGGAGGAGAAGAGTGTCGTTTCAAGGTGCTGCTGAGGCGACGGAGGGAGGAGGAGGAGAAGGGGGAGGAGGAGAGGAGGGGGAGAGAGCAGAGGAGGGAGGGCATGCTCCTGTAGGGAGGGGTGAGGATGGTGGTGCTAATGGTGGTGGTTCTGACATGGTCTATGATGATAGTGCCATGTTGCCGTTGGTGGATGAACAAGTGGTTGTCACACAGCTATCACAGCAGCAAATGCAGCAGGTAACCCCCCCTTGTGCTCGTGTGTTGACGTGTCTCAATTCACAGCAGGAGAGGCAACTGGTGGGTTCCCCTCTCGTTTTGTTTCGTGTCTTCTTCTCCACCGTCTCGCCTCAACCCCAACCCTCTTCTGCCCACCCCTGCCACTTTCAGGGAGAAGCCCTGAATCTTCTGAGATGAGTTTTCATGCTAATACTCAGCGTGTCACCCCGCCCCATCCCTCCTCACCCCGGCCCCACCCTTTTTCACCCCGCCCCACCCCTCCTCACCCCTCCCCACCTGCCTTGACTCAGGAGGACGAAGAAGAAGCCCTGGACCTTCTGAGATGGGTTGCCAATAGCCAGCGTGACAACAGTGAAGGCGACAGTGCGAGCGATGATGAGCAACTGTTGCTGGGAGAAGATGTAGCAGGTGAGGCAGCACAGAGACACGCATACACACAAGCACAAGCAGAAGCAGAAGAACAAGCGCAGGCACAAGCCCAACCAACGGGGAACGCGACCGGGTCACAGGTATCCACAGCGGTTGGGTCTCATGGGGGTTTCACGAGGGTAGTGTCTCAGCTTCCGACTGGTGGATCACAGGAGTTTCTGCAGATAGGGTCTCAGTTCCAAATGGGTGGGTCACAGGGGTGTTCTCAAGGGGAGAGGAGGCGGGCAGCAGTGGAGCGAGCGTGGGAGGCATATGAAGCATCTGTGGCGGAGGAGTGTGAGGGGATTCTGGCGAGTGTGAGGGAGATGGGGGCGGAGTGGGAAAGAGAGGGGGAGGAGGAGGAGGAAGAAGAGACGGAGGAAGAAATCGGAGAAGAGGAGTTGGGAGAAGAGTGGGAGGAAGGGATGCAGCAAGGTGTGGGGCAAAGAGAGCTGGTTGGAGGAAGCAACGCACTAGAAGGGAGCGGAAGAGAGGATAGGCGGGGGGCGATTCCTCAAGTGTCAGGAAGAAGCGGAACCGAGGGTAAGGGTAAGTGGCGTGTGGAAGGAGCAGCACGTGGTGCTGGTGGGGAGGGACTGGAGGGTAATGCAGGAGAGGGGTCCGTGCAAGAGGGGGAGGGTGTGGGAGGGAAGGGTAAAATGGGGGATAGGGAGAGATCAGGAGTGCAGGGAAGGAGGGGCGGAGAGGAGGGAGGGGACGAGGGGTTGGAGTGGATAAACGAGTTTGTGCGCGGCGATCTGATGGCCTGGCAGATGAACCAGACGGATGGCGCTAATGGCGATAGTGAAGATGATGATAACGAGGATGATGATGCTAGTAAGGATGATTATCGTTGGGACGAGATGGGGGAGCAGGAAGAGCAGGGAGGGCAGGGAAAGAAGGGAGCGCAGGGGGAGCAGGAAGAGCAGGGTGAGGAGGGAGAGAAGGCAGGGCAGGGAGAGGAGGAGGACGAGATAGTGATGACTCCACCAACCACCCGACTGCACCTGAGATCGCTAAGGAAGCGCCACAAGCAGAGCAAACTAGTGAAGGTCACTCCAGGCCCGTGTGCAGTACAAGAGAGCCACCTGGAAGCCCAGAGAGGTGGAGTGACTGTGACTCTCGCGAGTGGCTCAGGGCCAGAGAGGCAGAAGAAACCCGCGTGTAGCCAGGAGGGATCAAGGAAAGGAGGGGAGCAGGTGGGTGGGTACAGGACTGGTGGTAGTGGTAATGGAAGGGTGCACAGTAGAGAGGTGATTCGAGGAGGCGGTGTAGAGGGCAGTGAAGGAGACAGTCAGCAGGAGAACCGTCAAGAAATAAGACGAGGGGGCGTCGACCGTCTAGAGGAGTGTCAAGGGGTGAGTCGAGGGGATGCTGTAGAGGGCAGCAGATGCAGTAGAGGCAGCAGCAGCGAGGGCTCGGAGGAATGGCTGCCTGCCAAAGGTCAGGGCATGAGCCAAGGCATGAGCCAGGGCTTGAATCAAGGCAAGCGTGAAGGCATGAGTCAAGGCATGAGTCAAGGCACGAGTCAAGGCATGAATCAAGACGTGAGCCAAGGCATGAGCCAGAGCTTGAGTCAAGGCATGGGTGAAGGCTTGAGCCAAGGCGTGAGCTGTGGTTCGTTCCAAAGGATTCCTGAGCCAGCTGAACGTGCTGCAGCTGCTGCTGCTGCTTCTCAAGCTGGCGCTTCTCCACCTCTTGCCGAAGCAGCTACTGCTGCTGCTGCTGCTGCTGCTGCTGCTGCTGCTGCTGCTGCTGCTGCTGCTGCTGCTGCTGCTGCTGCTGCTGGTGCTGCTTCATTTCAGGATGAGCTTCACGAGCCAGCTGCAGCACCAGGCATCACCAGCAGGGCAGAAATAGGATCTTCCGCCATTCCCGTAGCACCTGCAGGAGAGGTAGCAGAAGCAGATGTAGCAGCTGCAGAAGCTGCAAGTTCAGCTGCAAGAGTCTCCGCTCCAGAGATACTTTCACCCGAAACGGACGTGGCTCCATCTCCATGTACCGTGCCATTACCACCGCCCTCTCTCGGAGCGGAACCTAATTCTGTGATCCATTCAGTCTCTCCAGAGCTATCCGCTGACCACCCTGCAACAAGTCTTTCCGCTGATCCTCAAGCCGAACCTTCTGTGCCAAGCAGTTTGCCTCAGACGGTGCAGGACCCGCCACAGGAGACGGTGCAGACGCCCCACCCTTCTCAGACTCTTCTTCAGGCGCCGCACACGCCCCAGACTCTTCTAAGTCCTCAGACTCCTCAGACGCTTCAAACTCCTCCAACTCCTCAGACTCCCCAAGCCCAGGCACCTCACACGCCACTGTCACCTGTTCCTGCTGCTGCCTCCCCACCTCAGCTTCCTGGCTCCTCTCTTCCGTCCCGCCACATCCCGCATGTGCTTAAACAGAGGCCTGCATCCTGCCACTCGTTACAATCACATTCAACAGAAGAACAATTGGTGGATCCGCTGGTGTATCACAGGGCGCCTCCCTCGTTGCAGGAGCTGAGGGACACGTGGCAGGCCCATGGCTTGCCACGTGTGCAGTGGCCTGATGTGTACTACGGTGATGTCAGGGACGTGCCAGAGAGGCATCCTGTTTTTGGCGGGAAGGAGTTCAAAAGTGAGTCCGCGTTTGGAGATACATGCGTTTTGTTCAGTGTTGTCGGGTTAGTACATGTGTGTGCACCCTTCTTTCCCTGGTATGTTTCTGCATTTCAACATGTTAACCCTCTTTACCCACTTTTGCCCATCCATCCCACTGTTCCCATCCCCCACCCCACTGCAGTCCTCTCAGCACATGACGCTCACCTCCCTCCCTTCCTTACTGTCTGTACCCTCCTCTGTCCATCCCCCATCCCCAATTCCCCACCACCCAACAGTCCTCTCAGCACACGACGCTCACCTCCCTGCCTTCCCCTTCTCCCCCTTCGGCCCTCGCTCCCACTCCACCTTCAACACCGCCCCGCCCTTCCTCACTCTCGCCTCACTCAACCCCTCCACCTCTCTTCCTGGATTCCTCGATGCACCAGATAACACAGCGCCCATCTGTCCCCTTCGCTCCTTCAATGGCGGCAGCACCAGTACTGCTGTTGCAGCGCCTGTTGCTGTGGCCACTTCAGCAGCTGCAGCAGCTTCAGTGCGCTGGCCCGCCCCTAGGCTGGCTCGGGAAGGGGAGCCCGTACCTGGAGTGCCGAGCCGAGTCGAAAGGCTCGGGCGGACGTCGTATCAGATTGTGCCAGCTCAGCAGCCGCCCTCTCGGCGGCGGGTGGAGGTGTGGGCGATAAGAGAAGGGCTGCTGAAGACGAGGAAGGATAAGCATGTTGCTTACTCAAGAAGCAGAGGAGAGGATAGGAGGGGGGTGAGCGTGGAAAGGGGAGAAATAGCTGTGTCTGCTGGGGGTGCTGAAGCTGAACCTGATACAGGTGCCCCTGGCAGCGCTGATGCTGCTGATGCTGCTGCTGCTGCTGCTGCTGCTGCTGCTGCTGCTGCTGCTGCTGCTGCTGCTGCTGCTGCTGCTGCTGCTGCTGCTGCTGCTGCTGCTGCTGCTGCTGCTGCTGCTGCTGCTGCTGCTGCTGCTGCTGCTGCTGCTGCTGCTGCTGCTGGTTGTGCTGGTTTTATGGGTTCACCCAAACACGGTCTCCAATGCAGTGCAATACAACCAAGTGCAGAGCAGCAGGCAGACTTTGCCCTTGATCCCAACACAGGCCAGTTGCTCGTTCAAGAGGCAGGTGTGATGGGTGGGGGAGGAAGGAAGGCCGGCAAGGGTTTGGTGGGTGGGAACCGAAGGAAGGGGGGGGCGGGTTCTAGAGGACGTGGGAACAGGAGGGAAGGGGGTAGGCGGGGTGTGGTGGCGAGGGGAGGAGGTGGGGGGAGGAATAGGGCAGTGGGGGACGAGGGGGGTGAGGGCGAGGGTGAGATGGAATGGGGAACGTGGAGTGATGTGGGAAGGTGGAGGAGAGAGGTCGAAGAGATGGTGGATGAGGGGGAGGAGGAGGAGGAGGAGGAGGACGAGGAGGATGGAGAGGGAGAGGAGAGAGAGGTCAGTAACAAGGATGGTTGTAACGAGGATAGAGAGGAGGGTAGCGGACATGATGAAGAAGAAGAGGAAGAAGAAGAGATATTTGAAAGGCCTGCGTCGCCCAAGTGGAATGAGGGGCACGTGCTTACAACGCAGCTGCTGTCAACCCCCATACAGTCACAGTCACGCCTCAGATCCCCCCCCTGGAGTGCAAGGTCGACACGAAGGTCAGGGTCTGCGTCAAGGGCAACATCAGAACGAAGGAGGAGGAGAATCTCAGATGAAGCAGCAGCAGGCGAAGAGGAGACTGGAAGAAAGGAGGGACCTCTGATCCCAGTGTCATTTGAATCCCAGGGGATTTTGAAGTCGCCGCCCGCTGATCATTCTTGTTTCCAATCTCCTCAACCTCGGTCCCGAGTCACCTTCAGCTCCATGCCGCCTCCTCGCATCCCCCCTTCTCTCCTCCGCATGCCTACAGCCGCTGGGGCCGCTGCCAGTCCCACCACCACCAACCCTGCTGCTGCTGCTGCTGCTGCTGCTGCTGCTTCTGCTGCTGCTGCTGCCACCACCACTGCTTCTGCTGCTGCTACTTCTGCGCGTGCTGTTTCTGGACAGTCACCAATAGGAAAATCATCTCTTTCTATTGGAGAGTCCCCCCCTACACCTCCTTCTCCTGCTACCACCGGTCTGAACCCCTCTCAACCTTCACCCACTCTCCTCCAATCACCCCCTCTCATCCAATCGCAACCCCCCACACAGAGTTTCCGACCTCCTCTTTCTCCCTTCACCTTGCCCCCTTCGCCTTCCTCTGCGTCTCCTGTTTCTCCAGAATCGTATCATATCCAATCTAGCAGGATCCCACGTGGAATTTCAGGTGTTTCTAGGCCGTTCGGTGATCCTGGTCCTGGTGTATGGAAGGGGTATGCTCTCCGCCAATCAGGGGCTGCCAGGTGGCGAGATTTCTCCCAGCTGACCCCAGCAACTCAGGCTGCGACTCCGGTCAGCCAATCAGGATTCAGGGAGAGTAAGAGTGGAAAGAAGGGGAGTGGAGAGAAGGTGAGAATAGAGGAAACCGGCGAAATGGGAGAAGGGCGAAAAAGAGCTACTGCAGAGGGAGAGGCAGAAAGAGTTGGTCCGGGGATAGTTGGAGGAGGGAAGAGGAGGGCTGAGAAGCAGAAAGGGGAAGTGACACTAGAGAAAGTGGAGGAGGAAAAGGAGGAGGTTGGAGCAAAAGCCGAAGTTATGAAGGATGATGCAGCAGATACAGGAAGAAGCTCCGCCGACAGAAAGAAAATAACCTGTTCCTCCTCCCCTCCCTCCTCTTCCGCTTCTTCTTGCTGCGAGCACGTGGTGAGCATGAGTGCAGAGGTGCTTGCGTGCACCAGAGGGGACTTGCTTCCTGACCCTGCACTAGACGCGCTGTGCTGTGTCGTTCTCGCCACTCAGGGGGAGGGGGATGGGGAGGGGGATGGGGAGGGGGATGGGGAGGGGGATGGGGAGGGGGATGGGGAGGGGGATGGGGAGGGGGATGGGGAGGGGTACTGTGAAGGGGAGACAGAGGGGGAGGAGGCGGAGGAAGCGGAGGAGGGCGAGGGGAGGGAAGAGAGTGGGAGAGGGGAGGCAGCAGGGAGTGGTGGCGGGAGAGGGAGGGGACGAATCAGGTTGAGGAGAGTTGGGGGGAGGGCACAGGTGGATGTGTTGATCCTGGAGGAGACCCCTTCGGACATCTGCCGCAGGTAATTGTGCTCCGTGCTCCTCCGTTCTGTTCCCTCTTGAGGTTTTGTTGTTGGCGCTCCTAGCAGCAGGGAGCGGCAGCTTGAGTGAGAATGAGCCACGTTGGTTGGCGGGAAGGCACACATGGACGAGTCTCCTTTGGACTCTGCCCGCAGGTACTTGTGCTGCATGCTCCCCTCATTCTCTAAGTCTTTTTGAGAGGTCTCAACAGTGGCTCCCCTCCTTTGCAGAGGTTTTGCCATCGTAGCTGTGGAAGGTTTGTTGGCGAAGCTCTATATAGTGAGAGAGAGCAGAGCACAACCCTGACATAGTGATTGGTTGGGAGCCTGGGAGGTGCAGGGAGGATCTCTTGTGCGGGCTTGAGGATTCTTGTGCGGGCTAGAGGATTCTTGTGCGGGCTTGAGGATTCTTGTGCGGGCTTGGGGATTCTTGTGCGGGCTTGAGGATTCTTGTGCGGGCTTGAGGATTCTTGAGAGGATTGCTCAACATGCTTCCTTTCGTCTGGCATTTTTTTTTTTCCATTTTGTGTCTTCTCCTCAGGAACCCCGACGCCCCGGAGAGAGCGCAGCACCTGTGCTTCACCCAACCTGTGTCTTCTGCTCCGATTCCTTCCCCGTCTTTCCACCTCAGGAACCCCGATGCCCTCTCGTCCTGCCGCATCCACCTGCTATCATCAGAAAGCGCTCTTCTCGAGGGAGTAGTAGCGGTAGTAAGAGAGTATGACCCGGACATACTGCTGGGGTGGGACGTGCAAGGGGTCTCCTGGGGGTGGCTGGCGGAGAGAGCGCAGCACCTGGGCTTCACCCAACCTGTGTCTTCTGCTCCGATTCCTTCCCCGTCTTTCCACCTCAGGAGCCCCGACGCCCTCTCATCCTGCCGCATCCACTTATTGTCCTCCGAAGTTGCTTTGTTACAGTGCCTGGTAGCAGTGGTGAGGGAGTATGACCCGGACATTCTACTGGGGTGGGAGGTGCAGGGGGGCTCCTGGGGGTGGCTGGCGGAGAGAGCGCAGCACCTGGGCTTTAACCTCCACAAATCGCTCTCCAGAGTGCCGCCGCCTGTGCACGATGTGAGGGTAGTGCAGAGAGGGGCGCCGTTCAAGTGTAACATACCCTCTGTGCCTCCTCTCCCAACTCGCCCTGATGCCACTGGACCTCAGCAGTTTCAGTTACACTCGCCACAGTCACACCCAGCCCAGTCACACCCAGTGCCACTTCCACACCCAGCTCCATCACACTCAGCACAGCCACTCCCGTTACAGTCACCTCATGCAGCAGTCACATCCGAAGAGCCCTTGGGCTCCCAGGAAATCCCCATGTCCCCCTTGCCGTCCCAGATATCAGCCTCCCCGTCAATCCCTATGGGTCCTTCCCAGTCGCCCTTTTCACCGCCTCTTGATGCGCCTCTTCCCAATGGCACCACTCTTGTTGCTGCCACTCCTGACGCTGCTCCACCTTACACCACCACTCCTGACGGCAGCTTAAATGTATCACAGCAGCAGCAGCAGCAGCAGCAGCAGGAACAAATAGTTGCCCCATCCCCCATCCACTCTTCCCCGCCCTTCCTCTCGTTTCCGCTCTCCCCCTCACAGTCCGTTCCCATGCCTCAAGACATGAGCGCCTGGCGCCATGGGCTTGGGGGGTGCGACCTTCCCTCTGTAGATGCATATGCACATGCTGCTGAGACAGGGGTGCAAATGCACATTCGCGCACATGCACATGTGCCTTCAGGTGCAGGCGCACAGATGCATGTGGATGCATGTGCGCAGGGGAATAAATCGAGGAAAAGTTGTGCTGATGATCCCACCACGTGGCCTCTCCTCATCCCTGCCACGTCAGCAGCAGGAGGAGGTGGGACAACAGGTAATGGTGGGAGCAGGAGGATGGGGGAAAGGCATGGGTTTGCAGGGCAACAGGGAAGTGGGGGTGAACGGCAAGTGGGAACAGGAGGGGCAAATGGAGCAGGGGGGATAGGAGGAGGGAGAACAGGAGATGAAGGCGCAACAGGCGACGGCGAGAAGGAGAGGTGGATGAGAAGGAGAGGGGAAGGGCGCGGGCGGGGGGATGATGACGCAATTGTAGCAGACGAGTGGGGGAAAACGCATGGCAGCGGCTTGCACGTGGGGGGGCGGATCATGATCAACCTGTGGCGGGTCATGCGGGCTGAGGTGAAGCTGCCGGTTTACTCGTTCCATGCCGTGGTGCTTGCTGTGCTGAGGCGACACGTGGCGAAGTATGATTGGCGCACGCTGACTGGGTGGTGGAGGGCTGGTGGGGAAGGGAGAGGGGGAGGGGCAAGTGGAGCAGCAGAAGGAGGAGGGGGGGGTGGAGAGGAAGGAGCATCATCAGCAGCAGCAGCAGCACGAGCTGTTGCAGCAGCAGCGGCAGTGGGGAGGGTGCAGCGGTGGAGGTGCATCGAGCATTTTGTGGCGAGAGCGCGACTGAATCTCGAAATGATGCGACACCTGGACGTGGTGAGAGCTGCCACGTGGACAGTGTTAGGGTGGTTCCACGTGGATGCCTTGAGTGGTTCCGCGTGGAACACATCTGTCTTTTAAAGCACCCTCGCACATCCCATCCCTTCAATTCTCATCCTACTTCCCCCTGTTGCCCCTCCACAACCATCCTCGTTATAAGGTGAACCGCACAGCCGAGCTGGCGCGGGTGTTTGGAATCGACTTCTTCTCGGTGTTATCTCGCGGCTCCCAGTACCGAGTGGAGTCCATGATGCTGCGACTCGCACACTCCCAGAACTACCTGCTCATCTCGCCCTCGCGCATGCAGGTATGCATTGTGGCAACCATGTTATGCTATCAGTGCCGCACCACATGCCACACTGTCATGCCATCAGCCTTCTCGGTGCTACCACGGGGCTCCCGGTACCGAGTGGAGTCAATGATGCTGCACGTCGCACACTCCCAGAACTATCTGCTCATCTCGCCTTTGAGTCGACTCAAAAGCAGGCTCCCGGTACCGAGTGGAGTCAATGATGCTGCACGTCGCACACTCCCAGAACTATCTGCTCATCTCGCCTTTGAGTCGACTCAAAAGCAGGCTCCCGGTACTGAGTGGAGTCAATGATGCTGCACGTCGCACACTCCCAGAACTATCTGCTCATCTCGCCTTTGAGTCGACTCAAAAGCAGGCTCCCGGTACCGAGTGGAGTCAATGATGCTGCACGTCGCACACTCCCAGAACCATCTACTCATCTCGCCTTTGAGTCGACTCAAAAGCAGGCTCCCGGTACCGAGTGGAGTCAATGATGCTGCACGTCGCACACTCCCAGAACTATCTGCTCATCTCGCCTTTGAGTCGACTCAAAAGCAGGCTCCCGGTACCGAGTGGAGTCAATGATGCTGCACGTCGCACACTCCCAGAACTATCTACTCATCTCGCCTTTGAGTCGACTCAAAAGCAGGCTCCCGGTACCGAGTGGAGTCAATGATGCTGCACGTCGCACACTCCCAGAACTATCTGCTCATCTCGCCTTTGAGTCGACTCAAAAGCAGGCTCCCGGTACCGAGTGGAGTCAATGATGCTGCACGTCGCACACTCCCAGAACTATCTGCTCATCTCGCCTTTGAGTCGACTCAAAAGCAGGCTCCCTGTACCGAGTGGAGTCAATGATGCTGCACGTCGCACACTCCCAGAACTATCTACTCATCTCGCCTTTGAGTCGACTCAAAAGCAGGCTCCCAGTACCGAGTGGAGTCAATGATGCTGCACGTCGCACACTCCCAGAACTATCTGCTCATCTCGCCTTTGAGTCGACTCAAAAGCAGGCTCCCGGTACCGAGTGGAGTCAATGATGCTGCACGTCGCACACTCCCAGAACCATCTACTCATCTCGCCTTTGAGTCGACTCAAAAGCAGGCTCCCGGTACCGAGTGGAGTCAATGATGCTGCACGTCGCACACTCCCAGAACTATCTGCTCATCTCGCCTTTGAGTCGACTCAAAAGCAGGCTCCCGGTACCGAGTGGAGTCAATGATGCTGCACGTCGCACACTCCCAGAACTATCTACTCATCTCGCCTTTGAGTCGACTCAAAAGCAGGCTCCCGGTACCGAGTGGAGTCAATGATGCTGCACGTCGCACACTCCCAGAACTATCTGCTCATCTCGCCTTTGAGTCGACTCAAAAGCAGGCTCCCGGTACCGAGTGGAGTCAATGATGCTGCACGTCGCACACTCCCAGAACTATCTGCTCATCTCGCCTTTGAGTCGACTCAAAAGCAGGCTCCCGGTACCGAGTGGAGTCAATGATGCTGCACGTCGCACACTCCCAGAACTATCTACTCATCTCGCCTTTGAGTCGACTCAAAAGCAGGCTCCCAGTACCGAGTGGAGTCAATGATGCTGCACGTCGCACACTCCCAGAACTATCTACTCATCTCGCCTTTGAGTCGACTCAAAAGCAGGCTCCCGGTACCGAGTGGGGTCAATGATGCTGCACGTCGCACACTCCCAGAACTATCTGCTCATCTCGCCTTTGAGTCGACTCAAAAGCAGGCTCCCGGTACCGAGTGGAGTCAATGATGCTGCACGTCGCACACTCCCAGAACTATCTACTCATCTCGCCTTTGAGTCGACTCAAAAGCAGGCTCCCGGTACCGAGTGGAGTCAATGATGCTGCACGTCGCACACTCCCAGAACTATCTGCTCATCTCGCCTTTGAGTCGACTCAAAAGCAGGCTCCCGGTACCGAGTGGAGTCAATGATGCTGCACGTCGCACACTCCCAGAACTATCTGCTCATCTCGCCTTTGAGTCGACTCAAAAGCAGGCTCCCGGTACCGAGTGGAGTCAATGATGCTGCACGTCGCACACTCCCAGAACTATCTACTCATCTCGCCTTTGAGTCGACTCAAAAGCAGGCTCCCAGTACCGAGTGGAGTCAATGATGCTGCACGTCGCACACTCCCAGAACTATCTACTCATCTTGCCCTCACGCATGCAGGTATGTGTGTGTGTCACAGTCCAGGTGAGTAACCCTGTTACCATGTGTACAATCACCAATATATTTGAGCCCATGTTATCTATTACCTGGTACCTACCACAGCTACCACAGGTACCTGGTACCTACCACAGCTACCACAGGAGCCCGGAGGTACTGCTGCTGGTCTTGCATTCGCCTTCCCCCACAAGTGCCCCGTCACTCAACCTTGGCCTCTCTCTATTCTCATTTCACTTCCCAGGCGCCGTCCCAGTCCACTCCGACATGTCACAATGTGCGTGGGCAACTCTTTTCCACCCCTCCCCTCCCTTCCCCTTACCCCTCTCAGATATCCTCCCAGCCCGCCCCTGCGTGCTTCCCCCTAGTGATGGAGCCGGAGTGTCGCTACTACACCAGCCCCGTGGTGGTGCTTTCACTCTCTCTATCCCCCTGCCCACTCATCCCTCTTCTCTCCTCCCTCCCCCTCCCTCCCCCTCCCTCCCCCTCCCTCCCCCTCCCTCCCCCTCCCTCTCAGGACTCTTCCCAGCCCGCCCCTGCATGTATTCCCCTGGTGATGGAGCCAGAGTGTCGCTACTACACCAGCCCCGTGGTCGTTCTGGACTTCTAGTCGCACTACCCCTCCATGCAACCCCGGCTCCTATTCTCTCTTCCCCTCCCCTCCTCTCCTTCTCAACAGGTATCCTCCCAGCTGGCCCCTGCATGCATACCCCTCGTAATGGAGCCAGAGTGTCGCTACCACACCAGCCCCGTAGTGGTCCTTGACACTCTCTATCCCCCTTGCCCCCCCCTCCCTCCTCTCCCCTCCCTTGTGCAGGTCTCTTCTCAGCCCGCCCCAGCATGCATCCCTCTAGTGATGGAGCCGGAGTGTCGCTACCACACCAGCCCCGTGGTCGTTCTGGACTTCCACTCGCACTACCCCTCCATGCAACCACTGCTTCCCTCAACCCTTCCAAAAAGCATCTGTTTCTCTTCTCCTTTCTCCCTGACTGACAGGTGTCCTCCCAGCCCGCCCCTGCATGCATACCCCTCGTCATGGAGCCGGAGTGTCGCTACTACACCAGCCCCGTGGTCGTGCTTTCTCCATCCATCCATACCACCTCTGCTTAACATGCTGCTCTCTCCTCCACATCACCCTTCTCCCCTCTCAGGTGTCCTCCCAGCCCGCCCCTGCATGCATACCCCTCGTCATGGAGCCGGAGTGTCGCTACTACACCAGCCCCGTGGTGGTGCTTGACTTCCAATCCCTCTACCCCTCCATGCTCATTGCCCACAACCTCTGCTTCTCCTCCTGCCTTGGCCGCATCCCTCCCCCCTCCTCCTCTGCTGCTGCTGGTGCTGCTGCTGATGGTGGTGATGGTGGCGCTGCTCCTGCTGCTCCTACTGATGGTGCACCTGCTGCCTGCGCTGGTGTTTCAACTGCTGCCACTGCTGCTGCGGCTGCTGCTGCGGCGGCTGCTTCTGTTGGTCCCAATGGTGCTGCTACCTCTGCGACTGCTGCTGCAGCAGCAGCGGCTCAGAAAGCGTCTCTTGGAGGCAACTTTTATCAGGGTGGCGAGGGGGAGAGGCAGTGGTGGGGGGAGGAGGAAAGGCCGCTGGGCGTGACGACCTATCGCGTGCCGCCAGGTGTCGTGTCATCATTGAAGGACGACCTGTTGCTGCTGCCCAACGCAGTGATGTATGTGCCGCCCAAGGTGAGTCCATCCATTATTCCCTAACTGACAGCCTGTTATGTCTGCTGGGGGCGAGGGTTAGAGGCGGTGGTGGGGGGAGCGAGACGTCATTGAAGGACGACCTGCTGCTGCTGCCCAACGCAGTGATGTATGTCCCTAAAGGTGAGTCGGGCTTGAGTGTCAGAGGGACTTTCGCACCATGCTGTGCCTTCTGTTATGATGCCCAACACAGCCATGTATGTGCCGCCCAAGGTGAGTCAATTCTCATTAGGAGACTTAGATTCGACTAGTTTCTCAAGCTCATCGCCAGCATTACCTATCGGTACACTGTGGCTTCGTTCTTTAAACTCTATCCCCTCCCACCCTCCCCAGGTGCGACCGGGTGTGTTGCCGTGGCTGTTAAAAGAAATCCCAGCGACTCAAGTGATGGTAAAGAAGGCGATGAAAAAACGTTTCCCAGGAAAGCAGAGCCGGGTGCTGCACTGCGTGCTGAAAGCGCGGCAGTTTGCCCTCAAGCTCATCGCCAACGTTACTTATGGGTACACCGCAGCATCATTCTCACCCCCCCCCTCAAGCTCATCGCCAATGCCACCTACGGGTACGCCGCAGCCTCCTACTTCAAGGCAATCCCGTCCCACCCTGCCACCCCTTCCCAACCCGTGTATGCTCGCTCCTCCCCACTCCCCCAGGTGCGACCGGGTGTGCTGCCGCGGCTACTGAAAGAGATCCTAGCAACCCGGGTGATGATGAAAAAGGCGATGAAGAAGCTGCCACCAGGGAAGCAGAGCCGGGTGCTGCACCGCGTGCTGAACCCTTTTCTCTGTGTACGCTCTCCCCACTCCCCCAGGTGCGACCGGGTGTGCTGCCACGGCTACTGAAAGAGATCCTAGCAACCCGGGTGATGATGAAAAAGGCGATGAAGAAGCTGCCACCAGGGAAGCAGAGCCGGGTGCTGCACCGCGTGCTGAACCCTTTTCTCTGTGTACGCTCTCCCCACTCCCCCAGGTGCGACCGGGTGTGCTGCCACGGCTACTGAAGGAGATCCTAGCAACGAGGGTGATGGTGAAGAAGGCGATGAAGAAGCTCCCCCCGGGGAAGCAGAGCCGGGTGCTGCACCGGGTGCTGAACGCACGGCAGTTTGCCCTCAAGCTCATCGCCAACGTTACTTATGGGTACACTGCGGCGTCGTTCTCTCTAAGGCGTTCTCTAAGAACGGTGTTTGAGACGTCTCATAAGAACGGTGTTTGAGACGTCTCATAAGAACGGTGTTTGAGACGTCTCATAAGAACGGTGGGCTTTCTTCCCACAGTTTCCCGCCCCCCTCCCGTCCTCCCAGGTGCGTCCAGGCGTGCTGCCGCGGCTACTAAAGGAGATCCTAGCAACCCGCGTGATGGTAAAGAAGGCAATGAAGCGACTCTCCTCAGGGGATAGGAACACTCGAGTGCTGCACCGCGTGCTGAACGCACGGCAGTTTGCCGTCAAGCTCATCGCCAACGTCACCTACGGTCACCTATGGGTACACCGCGGCGTCGTTCCTAAAGGCAATCCGCTCTCTCATTTTTCAACCCCTCCCACCCCTTCCTTGCTTGCACGCTCTCCCCTTCACCAACACCAGGTGCGCCCTGGTGTGCTGCCACGGCTGCTGAAAGAAATCTTGGCAACGCGAGTGATGGTGAAAAAAGAAATGAAGAAGCTCCCACCAAGGAAGCAGAGCCGCGTGCTGCACTGCATGCTGAACGCACGGCAGTTTGCCCTCAAGCTCATCGCCAATGTTACTTATGGGTACACCGCGGCGTCGTTCCTTAACACTTGATCTACCACCCTCCCACTCCTGCCCACCCCTTCCCACCCGCGCCCCTCCCACCCTCCCAGGTGCGCCCAGGCGTGCTGCCACGACTGCTCAAGGAGATACTAGCGACAAGGGTAATGGTTAAAAAGGCGATGAAAAAACTCCCTCCGGGGAAGCAGAGCCGAGTGCTGCACCGCGTGCTGAATGCACGGCAGTTTGCCCTCAAGCTCATCGCCAACGTCACCTACGGATACACTGCGGCGTCTTTCTCTGGCCGCATGCCCATGGCTGAGCTGGCCGACAGCATCGTCCAGGTCAGGCTGAGCTGGCAGGGACATACTTCGTTTTCTCTGTTGGGTGTCAGTCATATTTACTCCAGATTTTGAGCACGATTCCAATGCTTACAAGTGGCTATACAAAATTGCTCAATTTTCTGGGAGTTCTCAAAAGTCAACGAGTCTCGCACCCCTCTGGTCTGGAACCAGGCCTGCGCAAACCAAACCACTCAAACAGCCTCTCCTCTCCCTCTGCGCATGCTCTCGCCATGCCTTCTCCTGTGCAGGCAGGGCGAACAACACTGGAGAGGGCGATAGCTCTGGTGAACAGCCATCCATTGTGGAATGCTCGGGTGGTCTATGGTGACACTGACAGGTGGGTGCTTCGGGCTCTTGGCCTCTTTTGTTGCTTCTCATGCTCACTTGGTTCGTACTCCCATCCTCCAAAAGCCTGTTTGTTCTCCTGGAGGAATGTACCGACAGGAAGCAGTTACCATCCTATCCTTGTATCCCACTTCTTGTCTTCCCCATTCCCCTTCTTTTCCTCCCTCCTCTCACCCGCCTCCCTCCCTCCCTGCAGCATGTTTGTTCTTTTGGAAGGCAGAACCAGAGATCAGGCCTTCACAATCGGCAATGAAATCGTTGCGGCGGTAACCGCGCTCTCCCCGGCCCCGGTGGCTCTGAAGCTAGAGAAGGTGTACCACCCGTGTGTGCTGCAGACCAAGAAGCGATACGTGGGGCTCGCGTACGAATCCCCTGCTGCCACGTGTCCCCCTGTGTTTGATGCCAAGGGGATCGAGACGGTCAGGCGGGACGGCTGTCCTGCCGTGAGCAAGCTATTGGAGAAATCCCTCAAAATTCTGTTCTCCACCAACGATTTGTCTCGGGTCAGTTTTGGCAAGGGTATTAATTTGGCAAAAGGAAAGGGTGTCCTGCTGTGAGCAAGCTGCTGTGAAAGTATGTGAAGATTTTATTCTCCACCGATGTGAGTTTCTTGTGTTGAAGCATTTGAAAATGTATGTAAGATTTCACTCTACACCAACAAACAATCTACCAGGTTTATTGCAGCCCTTTCTCCCTCCACCACTCCCTCCCCTCTCTACATGCAAGGTGCGATCATACTTCAACACGCCAGTGGCAGCGCATGCTGCAAGGAAGGGTGTCTTTCCAAGACTTCATATTTGCCCAGGAGGTTCGCCTAGGAACCTACAGCACCAACCCCCACGCCCTGCTCCCTCTCTTCCATTTCCCACTCTCCCCTCTCCCTCCATCCCAGGCGCGATCCTACCTAGTGCGCCAGTGGCAGCGCATGCTGCAAAGCCGGGTGTCCCCGCAAGACTTCATCTTTGCCCAGGATGTTCGACTGGGCACCTACAGCACCAACCCCGCGCAATAACCATTTATTTTCCTCTCCCACTCCCCCCACTCCTTCCCATCCCAGGTGCGTTCGTACTTAATGAGGCAGTGGCAGCGCATGCTACAGGGCCGCGTGTCCCTGCAAGACTTTATCTTCGCCCAGGAGGTCGGATTAGGCACCTACAGCACCAACCCCCGATGTCCTCCTCCCTTCTCCTCACTCCCTTACTCCCTCCTTTCCTCCATCCCAGGTGCGGTCATACCTTGTGAGGCAGTGGCAGCGCATGCTGCAGGGCCGAGTATCCCTGCAAGACTTTATTTTCGCACAGGAGGTTCGCCTGGGCACCTACAGCACCAACCCTCGCGCGCTCCTCCCCCCCGCAGCCATCGTGGCCACCAAAGCCATGCAGAGAGACTCCCGTGCCGAGCCAAAATACAAGGAGCGGGTTCAGTATGTGATAGTGTGCGGTGACCCTGGGTCCAGACTGGTTGATTTGGTGGTGGAGCCTCGCGTGGCGGTAGATTCGCAGTGTCTCCGGCTGAATGTGGGGTATTATATCACGAGGAAAGTGATTCCTGCGCTGCATCGGGTGTTTGCGCTGGTGGGGACACGTGTCGCGTCGTGGTTTGCTGAGCTGCCGCTGTCGCAGCGGGTCGGGCTGGGGAAGCAGCCCCTGCTGACGTGGCAGGAGGGGGAGGGGGTGGGGACTAGGGGGAGTGTTTTGCAGGGGCAGGGGCAGGGGCGGGGGAGGGGAGGTGTAAGGGGGAGGGGAAGGGGGAGAGGGAGGGGGAGGGGGAGAGGAAGGGGCAGGGGGCAAGGCAGGATAGATCAGTATTATGGGAGCATGCACTGTGTGGTTTGTGGGCGGATGGTGGTGAGAGAGGTGAGGCGTGAGGGGGTGATGATGGCAGGCAGAGTTGAGAGAGGAGGGGGCAGAGGATGCAGAATAGAAGAAGCTGGAGTAAGAGGAAAGGGAGGAGGAATGAGAGTAAGCGGGGAAGAAGCAGTGGAAATGGGGGAAGTGGGGGAAGAGGGGGAGGGCAAGCAGCAAGGCATGAGGGTGGGGGAAGAGGGGGAGGGCAAGCAGCAAGGCATGAGGGTGGGGGAAGGTCTGGAAGCAGCAGGACTGGCTGCGCCTGGAGAGGAGGCAAGGAGTAGAGCACAGGATGCAGATGGGTGCTCTGCAGTGCCAATCTGCAGCTCATGTAGAGGGCTCGGGGCTGATCCGAGTAATGTGTATGCTGATGCTCGTGCTGGTCCTGGTTTGAGTGGTGCTGCTGGTGGTGGCGGTGGGGGCATGTGTGCTTCTACTGTGGGTCAAGAAAGTCAAGCAGGTCAAGCAGGGGAGCTAGGTCAAGTGCCAGCGCTGGTGCTGACGATGAGAGCTGCCCTTCTGGAGAGAGAATTCCGCCATCTATCAGCGGTAAGTGTGTTTGTTTATCTGTCTGCTTGCTTGTATGATTCTTTTTTCCCCTACTTTTTTTCTTCCCTTTTGAACCTTCAAGATTGAATCGTGAATATCTAAGTGTTGCAATATCCTGGGCAGATCTGCTTTGACTGCGGTGCATTTCCCGAAACAAGCCAAGGCGGAGGCAATACGTCCAACTGTCCAACTTCTTTGGCTCAGGGGTTAGATAGTTTAGATGTTGCGTGTGTGTCTCTTGATTGCCCCGTGTTCTTTGAAAGGAGAAAGGTTCAGAGGGAGCTTAGAGCAGCAGTAGATTTGCCAGCACGCCTTGGTTTGTATCCAGAGTTGTTTTAAATCCACAATTGTATAGGGGATTCAGATTACCTTATCACATTTTTGTGACGTACAAATACCTACTCTTTAAGTGAACTGATTGTGGTCGCAGTCTGTGTAGCGAGGATGAAAACTGACAGGTAAGTGGTTTCGTTGCCGCCACCCATCAAAATCAGTTTCTAGAGAACACCGTTTTGGTAGCACCTGACAGATCCTCAGTCCGCGACTCGACCTGTGACTTGAGAACTTCGAAAGCTCTAAGCTTTAAGAGCGTTTGTGGAGCTATATAGCCTGTTATCGAAACCATCTAAGCATCGCGTTATCGGGTACAGCAATCATGCAGGCTTTCCGCGTTGATTGGAGACTCGCAAGGACGCAATGACAGAAACATCGCGATCGTACGACCAGATGAAGGCCACGTTAGCGAAAGGAGATCCTAGCCGTTCATTCGCTCCGTCGGTCATGCTAGGACGATGCGGATTATCGAAGCACGCACTAATGAGTCGTCTGCGTCGCCAGCTCGCCGTGTTCTGGTCGCTGGTCCTCGCGATCGTTACAACGACTGGTTACCACACCATTCTCGCGACGGCCGCTAGTCCTGGGCGTGAGTGACTTTTGAGTCGACTTTTGAGTCGACTTTTGAGTTGACTTTTGAGTCGACTTTTGAGTTGACTTTTGAGTTGACTTTTGAGTGGACTTTTGAGTCGACTCAAAAGTTCTCGCGACGGCCGCTAGTCCTGGTCGAGTGCTTCCTTCATCGTCGCCGTCATCGCCACCGTCGTCGTCGTCTGCGTCGCTATTGAGACTCTGTCGTCGTCGAAGTTATCAAAATGCGTAACTTCGCGACAAGATTGGTCGGTGTTCGTGCATGGGGTTCGGCTTATTCCTTTTCCCACACCCCAGTGTGGGAGTTAGTCACTGAAACGCGTACTAACAATGCTGTCCCCGCTCCCCTCCCCCGTTTCCCCCTGTTCCCGCTATATTGCTTCTTCCATACTTCCAGTGTGGGAGCTAGTTTCACTGAAGCGAGTGCTAGCAGAGTCATCTCCAGGAGCCCTCTCCGCTTACAGCGACTCCTCTCCCCCCTCTCCCCACCTTCCGCCGCTCTCCCCTTTCCCCCCGACCCCCAGTGTGGGAGCTGGTGTCACTGAAGCGCGTACTAGCAGAGTCATCCCCAGGAGCCCTCTCTGCTTACAGCGACACCGGGGATCCGTGCAGTGGAGCATGGGGGGACAGGGTAACATGCAACGAGGCGGGTCAGATCGTGGCTCTGTGAGTATGAGATATCTTGAGTGCTATCTACGCTTACTGCGACTCGAATGACCCGTGCAGTGGGGCGTGAGGCGACAGGCTCACGTGCTACGAGGCGGGCCAGATCATCACACTGTAAGTATGCCCCCATCTGCTTATATTGACTTGAGAATTCTATGCAGTGGAGCGTGCAGGGTGCAGTGGAGCGTGCAGGGTGCAGTGGAGCGTGCAGGGTGCAGTGGAGCGTGCAGGGTGCAGTGGAGCGTGCAGGGTGCAGTGGAGCGTGCAGGGTGCAGTGGAGCGTGCAGTGGAGCGTGCAGGGTGCAGTGGAGCGTGCAGGGTGCAGTGGAGCGTGCAGGGTGCAGTGGAGCGTGCAGGGTGCAGTGGAGCGTGCAGGGTGCAGAGGAGCGTGCAGGGTGCAGTGCAGTGGAGCGTGCAGGGTGCAGTGGAGCGTGCAGGGTGCAGAGGAGCGTGCAGGGTGCAGTGGAGCGTGCAGGGTGCAGTGGAGCGTGCAGGGTGCAGTGGAGCGTGCAGGGTGCAGTGGAGCGTGCAGGGTGCAGTGGAGCGTGCAGGGTGCAGTGGAGCGTGCAGGGTGCAGTGGAGCGTGCAGGGTGCAGTGGAGCGTGCAGGGTGCAGTGGAGCGTGCAGGGTGCAGTGGAGCGTGCAGGGTGCAGTGGAGCGTGCAGGGTGCAGTGGAGCGTGCAGGGTGCAGTGGAGCGTGCAGGTTGCAGTGGAGCGTGAGGCGACAGGGTTCGTGCTACGAGTCGGGTCAGATCATCACACTGTGAGTATGTGCTATCTCTCACTCCTCCCATGTCTATTGCTTTGGCGCTATCTTTGCTTATAGCGACTTGAGAATTCTATACAGTGGAGCGTGCTGCAACAGGGTCACGACACGTGCAACCAGGCAGGTCCCATCACATCATCTCACCCATCTCCCTGCACTAGTACCCCTTCCCCCCGCCTCCCCCTCCCCTCCCCACCAAACCACAGGAACTTCACAGCGGAGGGGCTTTACAGGGGCCCTTCCAGGCAAGGAGCTGTCATGTCGACTCTAAACTTCTACTCACCCCAACCACCCTCCTCCCGCTTCCGTCCCCCCCCCACCCCTTCCCGTCACCCCCGCCTCCCCCTCCCCTCCCACCAAACCACAGAAACTTCACAGCGGAGGGGCTTACAGGGGCCCTTCCAGGCAAGGAGCTGTCGAGATTCCGCACCCTACAAAGCCTGTGAGTGGTTCAGTGTGGTGTAGAGCGGTTCAGAGCAGTAGGGTGGGGAAGAGTGGGTTCGTATTGGGCCTCTGTCAAGAACTGTAGAGAGTGGTGAAAAGCCTGTGAGTAGTTCAGGGTGGTGAGTGCTTCAGAACTGTTGAGAGTGGTGAAAAGTGGTCTGTCTTTGAGGGGCTAGGGAAGTCTGGATGTGAGTGGTTCAAAGTGGTGTAGTGCAATGAGGGATTGGTTGGCATGCTTGAAAATGAGCATGTCTTTGTGCCTGCATGTGTGCATCACATGTTATGCTTATAATAACTTCTTTTCACTCCTACGCATCTTTCCCTCTGCAGTGATTTCCGCCAGAACAGTTTTACGGGTAAAATACCCCCGGAATTGGCGTCACTAACCTCCCTAACTTATCTGTACGTGGAATTCTTACACCCAAATGGCACGCACGCCTGCAGCCCAGCCATTGTCCCAGTGATCGCTTCTCCCCAGCGCTCTCCAAAGTCTCTAAATCGCCTGTTCAGACGTGGCGCCCAGCTATTGCCGACATAAACAAGCCCCCCCAACACTAACCCCACTCCCCCCTTCCAAAGCTAACGAGGTGACTTTTGAGTCGACTCAAAGTCACCTTTTTCAGACTGTATTGCTGACATGAACAAGCCCCCCCCAACACTAACCCCACTCCCCCTTTCGCTCCCGGATTCTCTTTGCAGGTCTCTGGCGTTTAACAACCTCACAGGCAAAGTCCCCTCATGGCTCGGTCTCTCCTTCCTCTACCTCGTCGAGTTGTAAGGAGTGCAGTGCGGTGCAAAGTGGTGCATTTTCTTCTTTGAGGCATTGTAAAAGTCGTCTCGAATCTGCTTTCTCAGCAGTAATGAGTCGCTCCCCATTACTGCTGCTGCTGCGTCTGGTCTCTGTTGCAGGCACCTGAGCGACAACCTGCTGGAGAAACCTCTACCTGAGAGCATAGGCGGCCTTCAGGCATTACGAACAATGTGAGAGAGAGGGGCATGTCGCATCCTTCAGATCATGTTTGGGTACATGAAGTGATAGACTGACTGATAGTCATGCCATTGACAGCATCTGATTTTTTTCTTCTTCTTCTTCTAAACTCTTGAAAAAGTGTCTCAGAAGCAACTGAGACGGACCACTTTGGGAAGCATTCTGATTTGATTTGTGTGGCATCGACAGCATCGTATCCATGATTCATGTGTGGCGCTCATTTCATGTGCCACCATGCATGCATGCATGTGCCGCCATGCGTTCATCATGTGCCCGTGCCATGCATGTATTCACGTATGTGCTACCATGCATACATGTGCCGCCATGCGTTCATCATGTGCACATGCCATGCATTCACTCATGTATGTGCTGCCATGCATGCATGCCATCCGCCTTACCACTACAGGGACTTGAGTCGGAACAGACTGATAGGTAGCATCCCCCAAAGCATTCACGGATGCAACGCTACCACACGTCTGTAAGTGAATCTCATTCATGGGTGTGGTGTGGGGATGGGTGCAATGAGGTGAGTGAAAGCTTGTGCATGAATGACGACGATCGAGCATCAGTGAGTGAAGCGTTTAGGTGCATGGGTGCATGCATGGGTGCATGGGTGCATGCATGGGTGCATGGGTGCATGCATGGGTGCATGCATGGGTGCATGGGTGCATGGGTGCATGCATGGGTGCATGGGTGCATGCATGGGTGCATGCATGGGTGCATGCATGGGTGCATGGGTGCATGCATGGGTGCATGGGTGCATGGGTGCATGCATGGGTGCTGATGAGGCTTCAGAAATCATCTGCATGAAGCATCTATGCTCTCAGGAAGAGGTTTATCAATATGAGTATTATTATTCGACTAACACGATTCTCAATAATGCATCCAGCAGATGTCAATCCATACCATTGCCCGCTCAGAAGATTCAATTCTCATCCTCCCCTTTCCTGTGTGCTACACAATCACAGGAGTCTCGCCAGCCATATGATTAGGCGAGCAGCAGTCTAAAAGAAATCTTCTTCCGAGCCTCTTCTGTCCCCTTTCCTGTGTGCTACACAATCACAGGAGTCTTGCCTTCAACTCTCTCACGGGCAGCATCCCGGCATCCATCGGATCAATGAAGAGCCTGCAGGCGCTGTGAGTGAGCAGCAGGCACCCCCTTACGCCCCTCCCCTATGAGGCTATGCGCCTATGAGTGCCTACGAGTCTCTGTGAGTCTCGCCTTCTACTCTCTCACGGGCAGCATCCCGGCATCCATCGGGTCAATGAAGAGCCTGCAAGCACTGTGAGTGAGCAAGCACTGCCTTTTCCAACACCGTTTCCGATGCTGCTGCTCCAACACACTCGTACTTCCCATCCCATGAAGATAGGTTGGTCCCCTATATATCATCAGTGACCTTTTGAGTCGACTCAAAAGTGGTTCCCTATATATCATCAGTGACCTTTTGAGTCGACTCAAAAGTGGTTCCCTATATATCATCAGTGACCTCCAGTCGAACCAACTGAGGTGACTTTTGAGTCAACTCAAAAGTCATCTCATGGAGATAGGTTGGGCTGGTATCTATCTTCAGTGACCTCCACTTGAACCAACTGTCTGACACCATACTGCAAGACATCGGGCAAGCCACCACCCAAACCCACTATAGAGAGTGTTTATCAAGTGTTTATCACACTGCTGCTCCAACTCTCTTGAGGCGTGTTTATCACGCTGCTGCTCCAACTCTCTTGAGGCGCCTCAAAAACCTTATGACTTTTGAGACGTCTTAAAGATGTCCTCAAAAGTCTCCAACTCTTTTGAGGCGCCTCAAAAACCCAAGTGTCTATCGTGCTGCTGCTCCGATGTATTCCCCCACTTTCCACAGGAGATGTTCCCTTGCTCCGATGTATTCCCCCACTTTCCACAGGAGATGTTCCCTTGCTCCGATGTATTCCCCCACTTTCCACAGGAGATGTTCCCTTGCTCCGATGTATTCCCCCACTTTCCACAGGAGATGTTCCCTTGCTCCGATGTATTCCCCCACTTTCCACAGGAGATGTTCCCTTGCTCCGATGTATTCCCCCACTTTCCACAGGAGATGTTCCCTTGCTCCGATGTATTCCCCCACTTTCCACAGGAGATGTTCCCTTGCTCCGATGTATTCCCCCACTTTCCACAGGAGATGTTCCCTTGCTCCGATGTATTCCCCCACTTTCCACAGGCGATGTTCCCTTGCTCCGATGTATTCCCCCACTTTCCACAGGAGATGTTCCCTTGCTCCGATGTATTCCCCCACTTTCCACAGGAGATGTTCCCTTGCTCCGATGTATTCCCCCACTTTCCACAGGAGATGTTCCCTTGCTCCGATGTATTCCCCCACTTTCCACAGGAGATGTTCCCTTGCTCCGATGTATTCCCCCACTTTCCACAGGAGATGTTCCCTTGCTCCGATGTATTCCCCCACTTTCCACAGGAGATGTTCCCTTGCTCCGATGTATTCCCCCACTTTCCACAGGAGATGTTCCCTTGCTCCGATGTATTCCCCCACTTTCCACAGGAGATGTTCCCTTGCTCCGATGTATTCCCCCACTTTCCACAGGAGATGTTCCCTTGCTCCGATGTATTCCCCCACTTTCCACTCCCCTCCCGTCAAGCTCATTCCACAGGAGATGTTCCCTTGCTTCCCGTGATGTTGCGCCCTTCCCCTAGGAACTATTTGCGCCCTTTATCACGCTATTTGCGCCCTTTATCACGCTATTTGCGCCCTTTATCACGCTATTTGCGCGGTAACTAGTTTCGGCGTAGAAGCCTTCGTGATGTTGCGCCCTTCCCCTCAAGCTCAAGCTCCCCTTGCTTCCCGTGATGTTGCGCCCTTCCCCTACCTCCAGTGACCTTCAGAGCAACCAACTCTCAGGATCCATACCTCAAGAGATTGGGCAGGCCACCACACTCACTCTCTTGTAATGCCCCTTTACCTCACCTGCTCTCGCTTGTGTCACATAACTCTTAATGCTTCTGCATGCTGACTCCTTATCGGACTGCCTGTCTGCCTGATTGCTTGATTTCTTGTTTGCTTGTTTGCTTGTTTGCTTGTTTGCTTGTTTGCTTGTTTGCTTTGATGCTTACTGCCCAATATCTGCCTGGTTCGTCTGCATGGTTCCAGATCTCTCCACAGCAATCTCCTTTCTGGGCCAATCACACCGTCGCTCAGCAAGCTGCCTCTTCTTCGTAACTTGTGAGTCTCTCAGCGCACCGCACTCCACTGCACAACATCTGCTTGTACCACTTTGAAGTTCTGCATTTTGATTAGATGCATTCCACGTGCTGCGTGTGTACCACAGCTGCCTTAATCCGGAGGTGAACCTTCATCCGGGGGTGAACCTTAATCCGGGGGCGCGCCTTATTCCGGGGGCGCGCTGTGTCGAACTGAGTTACACCATCCTGCTTTGTTTGATGTCCATATCCATGCACCCATGATGCGTGCATCTAGAAACCCATGCTTAGTATGCTGTGTTCCGCTAACTCATTTTATGCTTCGTTACCGATATTACATATATTTTGAAATGTTTCTTTGCCGGCAGGACTCTCTCCAACAACCGCCTAGACGGCCCCATTCCTGAGTCCCTTCAGTATCTGCCCCTCATCGCTCACCTGTATGCACTCCCATCTTTACTCGGTGACTTTTGACTCAATATTATGAGTCGACCCAAAACTCTTCCCAACAACCGCCCAGACGGCCCCATTCCTGAGTCCCTTCAGTATCTGCCCCTCGTTGCTCACCTGTACGCACTCCTATGTTTACTCGGTGGCTTTTGAGTCGACTCAAAACGCCCAGACCGCCCCATTCCAGATTCCCTTCAGTATCTGCCCCTCCTTGCTCACCTGTACTGCACTCCCATCCCATCTTTACTGTCTTCTGCACGAACTCAGTTCTGAGACTTTTCAGTCAAAAGTCCAACCTTCCAGTAATGCGAGTCATAGCACGGGAATGAACGAGTCTTTTTCTCCTTTTCCTTATAAAAAGCTGAAAGAATGCTAGAGCGTACTTCTGCTTCATCTCACGCCATCCCTGGCATCACCATCCCTTCCCCACTTGTTATACCCAACCAGTGATGCAAGCCATAACTCCGGGATCAACGGCTCTATTCCGGGATCCCTTGCTGTCTTGACTACACTCCAGACACTGTACGTTCCCTCTCTCTCTGCTTGCTTCTTACTTCTGAAAGTTTGCAAAAGAAACAACCGGGCCGCTACCAGGGTCTCTGGCTGTCTTGACCACACTCCAGACACTGTGCGTTCTCTCTCTTCTTACCTCTCACTCTTGAAAGCTTGCAAAAGGCATCAACGGGCCTCTACCAGGATCTCTGGCTGTCTTGACCAACCCCAGACACTGTACGTTCCCTCTCTCTCTGCTTGCTTCTCACCCAACCGACTGCACATGTGTCTTGCATGCTCCCTCTCTGCCTGCGTGTGATGTGAACTGTCCTCTCTGTTGCGTATGCCCCTCACTTCAGTTTTCCCCGCTGGTTCTCTCCTCGTCTCCCCTCTTTTCTTCCCCATCAGGTCCCTTCAGTGCTGCCTCCTTTCCGGCTCTTGCCTTATGAGGCGACTCACATATGAAGCTGTCAAAGTTGTGCGGTTCAAACAACTCCGCATTGTGCTGCCTCCTTTCGGGCTCTTGCCTTATGAGGCGACTCACATATGGATTTTCTCGTCCCCCTTCCATCTTCCAACCCCACTCAACATCCTCCCCTCATCATCAGGTCCCTCCAGAACTGCTTCCTCTCCGCCTCCCTCCCTCTCTCACCCTCCTCCTTCTGCAGTGACACGATTTATAAGCACCTAAATAATCGTACATCTCTCCCTCATCGTCCCCCCTTCTCCCACCCATCAGGTCCCTACAGTACTGCTCCCTCTCCGGATCCCTCCCTCCCTCCCTCACCCTCCTCCCCATCCTCTCCTCCCTCCACCTCTCCCACAACCTCCTCTCCGGTCATCTCCCTCCCCTCCTCTCCTCCCTCTCAGCCCTCACCACCCTCCACCTCTCACACAACCTCTTCTTGGGGGTCATCCCCGACCCAATCTGTGACATGCACATGGTTGCTGACCTGGATCTGTCGGCCAATCAGCTGCAAGGGACCATTCCTCCCTGTCTGGTGGAAATGCCCACGCTCCGGATTCTGTAAGTGCGGTGCGCCGAGCCTGGTGCGCCGAGCCTTGTGTGCCGAGCCTGGCTTGCCGAGCCTGGTTTGCCAAGCCTGGTGTGCCGAACCTGGTGCGCCGAGCCTGGTGCCCACGCTCTGGATTTTGTAAGTCCACCAACTGCTATGTCGAATCCCCCCTGCCGAGTCCTATCCCATGTGCCATCCTAAGAAAGAAGGCTGTGAGTTCTGTCCTTACTTGCATCCCATCTCATCTCATCACTCCTCTTGGCCATCCCACCCTTACTCCACTACCACTCCCCTCCTCTCCTCTCCTCTCCTCTCCTCGCCCTCCCCAACAGGTCAGTCGCATTCAACAACCTGTCAGGGCCTGTTCCTGAATTACCAGCCGGCAGCGAGCTACAGTTCATGTACACCCCTGGGCTAGAGTTCATGCAAACCCGTTTCTGTGTGGGCTACAATGCAATGCATGTACACCTCTTCTTCTGACTTACCAGGCTACAGCTCGTCTCGTCCACACCTCCTTCCCTTATGGGCTACCATGAATGACACACTGACCCCTGTCACACTGACCACTGTCACACTGACCACTGTCACACTGACCACTGTCACACTGACCACTGTCACACTGACCCCCCTTTTTTTCTTTACCTACAAACATGGCACACTGACTAATTGTCCCCCTCCCTTCCCAGTCACCGTCACCATGTATGACAATGGTATCACCACAACTCTCTGGAGTCTAGACTTGGGACAGCGCGCCTGAGCAGGCATGGCATGCACTGCAGGCCTTCATGCTGCCACCCAGTCACTATAAACAACCTTCTCCTCCCCCCTCCCACCCCCCAGCTACGACCACAAATGTTTGGACAGCGCGCCTGAGCAGGCATGCGTTGCAGGCCTCCATGCCACCCAGCTATAAAGGCAAATATTCTCCCCCTTCTCTTTCCCTCTCTCCTTCCCCTCTCCCCCCCCCAGCTACAACCACAATTGTCTCGACGAAGCACCTGAGCAGGCATGCGCTGCAGGCCTGCATGCCACCCCTTCAGCAACAACTGATCACTACACCAGCCAAGCAACCTTCTCCTCTCTCCCTCTTCCCACCTTCCAGCTACGACCACAACTGTTTGGACGACGCACCTGAGCAGGCATGCGCTGCAGGCCTCCATGCCACCCCTTATGTGCCTGCTACCTCTGCTCCCAGCAGCAACAGTAGCAGCGACGGCAGCAGCAGCACGTGTACGTACGCCATGCATGTCAAAGCATCTGTACCATCATGCTGCCACCCCTTATGCGCCTCCTACCTCTGCTCCCAGCAGCAGCAGCAGCAGCAGCATGTGTACGTTTGCCATGCATGTAAAAGCACCTGTGCCTGTATGTACCTTCATGTTGCCATCCCTTATGTGCCAGTTTCCTGTGTTCCACTCTTCTACATCTCTTTGATCCTCCACTCCTCTTCCCTCCCTTCCACCATCAGCGTCCATACCACCACTAGCGTACGTGCTCCTAGTGCTGCTCATCATCACAGTGGTCTGTGTTGTCCTCTTTTTCCTCTTAAATTTGTCTCCTTCTCTTTCTTCCACCCTCCGCCCACCAGCGTCCATACCACCTCTGGCATACATCCTGCTGGCACTGCTAATCATCACAGTCGTCAGCGTTGTCCTTGTCTCCATCCCTTTGATCCATCTCTCGTCTCTTTCCTTTGCTTTCCCACCCACCAGCGTCCATCCCACCACTGGCGTACGTCCTGCTGGCACTGCTAATCATCACAGTCGTCTGTGTTGTGCTCTTTGGCCTCTTCGGCACTGTTCATCACATCAAAGTTAAAGCCAGCAAGAAGAAGCAGATGAGTGAGTGGATCAGATGCCCAAGTTGGTGCGTAGGTCGTGTATGGGTGTATGTGTATGCCCAAGTTGATGCTTGCATGTTGCTGCCCATGGTCCTCTCTTCTCTCTCTTCCCTCTCTTCTCTCTCTTCCCTCTCTTCCCTCTCTTCCCTCTCTTCCCTCTCTTCCCTCTCTTCCCTCTCTTCCCTCTCTTCCCTCTCTTCCCTCTCTTCCCTCTCTTCCCTCTCTTCCCTCTCTTCCCTCTCTTCTCTCTCTTCCCTCTCTTCTCTCTCTTCCCTCTCTTCCCTCTCTTCCCTCTCTTCCCTCTCTTCCCTCTCTTCCCTCTCTTCCCTCTCTTCCCTCTCTTCCCTCTCTTCCCTCTCTTCCCTCTCTTTCCTCTCTTCCCTCTCTTCCCTCTCTTCCCTCTCTTCCCTCTCTTCCCTTTCTTCCCTCTCTTCCCTCTCTTCCCTCTCTTCTCTCTCTTCTGTCTCTTATCCCTCTTCTCCCTCTTCGCACCTGCCAGGGCTGACTTGCAAGCATGCAAAACTTTCCTCCCGTCCCCTCTCCTCCTCTTCCCGCCCTTCTTACCAAAATTCAGCCCATCTGCCTGAGTTCTCTGTGTCACGGCTTCGTGCCGCAACCAGAGGCTTTTCCACGGAGCACGGTAGAGGGAGCTTTGGGACTGCTTATATCGCGTATGACCTCTGTGCTGCAATCAGAGGGATGACTTGCAAACGTGTATCACTTCTCCCCCGGCCCCACTCCTCCTCCTCCTCCTCCTCCTCCTCCTCCTCCTCCTCCTCCTCCTCCTCCTCCTCCTCCTCCTCCTCCTCCTCCTCTTCCCCACCGTCCCTCTCCCTTCCCCCCCTCCTCCCCCCCTTTCCACACCTTCTCCCCTCCCATCTCCCCCCAATCAGCCCATCTACCTGAGTTCTCAGTGTCACGCCTCCGCGCCGCAACGAGAGGCTTTTCCACGGAGCACGGTAGAGGGAGCTTCGGGACTGCTTATATCGCGTATGACCTCTTTCCAGAGGCCAGTGCAGGAGCAGAAGGCGGAAGGGGGCATGGCGGTGCAGCTCATGGGCATGGGTACATGCAGGCGAATTCCCATACCATGCCGCCTGCTATCCCCAACCCAGAGAGACACGGGTTGTTGAAACGAGCTCGCGACCCTGACAGTGAGTGGTTACTCTAGTAGACTAAAAAAGGAGGGAGGAAAGGGGCAGGGAGCAGCACATGGGCATGGGCATGGGCATGGGTACATGCAGGCGAATTTCCATGCCATGCCGCCTGCTATTCCCAACCCAGAGAGGCATGGGCTTGTGAAGCGAGCTCGAGACCCTGACAGTGAGTGGTTACTCTAGTAGACTGAAAAAGGAGGGAGGAAAGGGGCAGGGAGCAGCACATGGGCATGGGCATGGGCATGGGTACATGCAGGCGAATTTCCATGCCATGCCGCCTGCTATTCCCAACCCAGAGAGGCACGGGCTTGTGAAGCGAGATCGCGACCCTGACAGTGAGTGGTTACTCTAGTAGACTAAAAAAGGAGGGATGGAAGGGGCACGGAGCAGCACATGGGCATGGGCATGGGTACATGCAGGCAAATTTCCATGCCATGCCGCCTGCTATTCCCAACCCAGAGAGGCATGGGCTTGTGAAGCGAGCTCGCGACCCTGACAGTGAGTGATTTTTGCCCTGTATATCTGCCTGTGTATGCCCATTCTTTGTTATTAAATCCGTTCCATTTTGCCTTCATGCTCCCCCATTCTGCTGCCCTGACCTGTTTCCCTTGCATCCCACTTTCTTAGCCACTTTCTTTACCTTACCATCACCTTCCCCTTAACATTCTCTTTCCCTCCTCCCCACTCCCATTGGTATCATCCGTGCTCCTTCCATGCGCCTTCTCCGCCCCCCACTGCACCTCCCTGCAGGCTTCTCGGAATCTGCCTTCTGTCAGAAGGTAGCACTGCTAGCAGCAGCGAGCAACAGCCATCCGTGCATGGTGCACGTGAGGGGGTTCTGTGCTAATGCCTTCCATCCCCTCACTGCAACATCACTGCACCTTTCCCACAGGCTTCTCGGAATCCGCCTTCTGTCAGAAGGTAGCACTGCTAGCAGCAGCGAGCAACAGCCACCCGTGCATGGTGCACGTGAGGGGGTTCTGTGCGAATGGCGGGGAGAGGATGGTGGTGCTCGAGCTAGTCACAGGAGGCACGCTGCGCCAACGCATGATCCGTGAGTGCCCTTTTCACTTGAACATATCTCATGTCGAAAGGTAGTGCCATATGCGCAGGGTCACAGGGGAGAGGATGGTGGTGCTCGAGATGGTCACGGGGGGCACGCTGCGCCAACGCATGATCCGTGAATGCCCTTTTCACATCACCATCACATCAAGCGTGAGTCTCCTGTAACCAGCTCGAGCACGACCATCCTCTCCCCTGCGTGTAGGTGGTGCTCGAGCTGGTTACAGGGGGCACGCTACGGCAGCGCATGATCCGTGAGTGCTTGGTTAACAACCCTTCTGTCCGAAGGTATTGCTGCTCTTGCCAGTAGCAGCAGCAACAGCGGCAGCACCAGCCGTGGTGCTGGAGCTGGTTACAGGGGGCACACTGCGCCAACGCATGATCCGTGATTGCTTTGTGCACTTCAATTTATTCTATTTTTTTGTGTCATAATGGTGATGGTGTATAGTTCTTGCTCTTGGCTATGACAATGCGGCTAATTCACACCCGCAAGATCCACACTTCTCATTTCCCGCCTTCTCTTTTTTTCTCTCTGCCCGGAATCCTGTCAGGAGGTGACCTGGACGCACTGACGTGGCAGGAGAGAGTGCAAGTAGCAGTGGACGTGGCTGCTGCGTTGTATCACCTTCACTACAATCACACGCCGCCCTTTGTGCACCGCGCTGTGACGTCATCAAATGTGCTTCTAACAGAAGACATGACCGCCAAAGTACTGCTCGCCTGTCACTCTGTTTGTTTGCTTCTTTTTTTTTTTCTGCTACTTAATTATATTATTTTAAGGAACATCTCAGCAGAGCAGCTAGTGGGGCATGGTCAGGCTCGAGGCAGTCTTACTGCATCATAACATCAGGGGTTAAGTTAAGATGCACTAGCCACTGCTGCTATTTACTTCAGTTTTTAGCAGCAGTGGCTAGTGAAGAATGGTAAACAGACGTTCCCCACCCCCAACGCCTGTCACTCCCTTCACCACCCCTCTTTCCCCCGCCCCCTTCCCCCTCCCCTCCCCCTTCATCCCCCATTTCCCACCCTCTTCCCCGCCGGCTCCTTCCCCGACAGCTGTCGGACCTAGGTTTGGCCCGAGGCGGCTCTGATGCTTCGGGGTTTCGTCCGTTGCAGTCGTCCCTTGGAGTGGCTACGACTGCAGACGTGCTGGCCTATGGGGTGCTGCTGCTGGAGCTTATAACGGGGCAGACTGCAGATGGCACAACACAGATCGTCGCTACAGTGAGTGTTTCTGAGTTTGTGTTGGGTCGGCCTGTAAAGGAGCAGCTTGCTTATGGGGTGCTGCTGCTGGAACTTATAACGGGGCAGACTACAGATGGGACAACACAGATCGTTGCTTCAGTGAGTGCTGCATTGATTGAGCTTCTAATGACATTGTTGGCCTATGGGATGCTGCTGCTGGAGCCTATAACGGGGCAGACTGCAGACAGCACAACACAGTCTGTTGTTACAGTGAGTGTGCTTTTACAAGTAATTCGTTTTGAGTCGGCTTGTAAAGGTGGTATTGGCCTATAGAATGCTGCTGCCGGAGCTTATAACTGGGCACAGATGGCACAGCACACATCGTTGCTACGGTGAGTGTTCTTTAGTTTTGTTGTGGGTCAGCTTGCAATGGAGCGGTTGCCTCATGATATTCGAGACGTCTCAAAATTCGATCCTCAGATGTTGCATTCTATTGCACATGTCCAACTGGCAGTGCATACCTGCAGATGATGCTGCGTATGTTTTTTGAGATTTCTCAAAAAGCATGCACTGCAATCGATCCTCAGATGATGCGTTCTATTGCACATGTCCAACTGGCAGTGCATACTTGCAGCTGATGCCGCTCATACCTCCCCTTGCTCTCCCTCCTCTACTTGCTTTCCTTGCTCTCTTCCCCTGCCCTTATGCAGTCGGCACCATTCCTGGACGATCCACAGATGATGCCTCTAATGGCAGACGCCCAGTTGGGAGGGCATTTTGACCGCCCGCAACTGGAGGTTCTAGCGTCGCTGGCACGAGCATGTGTACTGGTGAGATCACTTGTTTTGGATATGTCTCTAGATGCCTCCACACACCCTCTTCCTCTTCCTCCCTCACTGGGAGGGCATTTTGACTGCCCGCAACTGGAGGTTCTAGCGTCTCTGGCACGCGCATGTGAACTGGTGAGATTTTCTGCGCGGCATATCCGTTTGATGCCTCAATAACACTACATCCTCGGTCAATCGGCCTGTCTCTTCTCTTAGCCATGCTGCTGCCACTGGTCCCCGTAATTCATTACCCCACATCTGCATATCCCCATGTTTGCATTTCCCGATTTCGGCATGTCGCCATGCGGGCGTACAGGACGACGCTGCTGCTCGGCCCACGATGCATGAGATACGGCAGGCCTATGAGCAGCACCTTCAGGTGGATCCTCAGGTGTTTGAGCCCCTGGACGTGGATCCTCAGGTGCTAGAGCCCCTGGACCCGAATCTGGGGGATGTGCCACTGGGGCAGGTTGGGACCATGGAGGGTCATGCAGACGCTGCTGCTGGTTATGCTGGTGCTGATGGTGCTGGCGATGGTGCTTTCGGTGCTGCTGCTCCTGGTGCTGGTGTTTCGGGCATTGCTGCGGTTTCTTCTGCTTCCTATTCTCTTGGTCCCTCTCCCTCTGCTGCTACTGCTTCGGAGGCATCTCAATATTCTACCAGCAATTGGGCATCCAAAATAGTCGCGTCAATGAGTTCTGCTGCTGCTGCTGCTGCTGCTGCTGCTGCTCCTGCTGCGGGTGCTTATAGCGAAGGGCAGGCTGGGCAGGGAGATGCAGACAGCAGCGTTCTTCTAGAGAGCGGCTTTTCTGCCCCACCTCCTAAGGGTGGAGACAGGGCCAAGGGAAAGCAACGACAAGGAGCAAGAGGGAAAGGAGGCGGGAGAGGAATGGGCGGAGAGGCAGGAGGGGGTGTAGGGTCTTCTGTAGCAGGGGTAGCAGGAGTGGGAGGAGCAGCAGCAGGGGCATGGGCGGCGGTGGGGGGTGTGGTTGAGAGTGTGTCGAGAGGGGTGTGTGTGGGGGTGCCTGGGAGTGTGAGTGAGGTGAGAGATGCCGAGGCTGCTTCTCTGCTTATATCAAGACCAACGATGGAAAATGGTGGTGGATATTGATACATAAGCCAATCAGGTGGCGACATTTTAGTTGTTACCATTATAAGGATGCCCAACCAATCTTTCTGCCTGGCACAATATCATTATCTCGCCTATTGCTTATGGAAAAATGCTTTGTTATTTATGAGAGACCCTATCTATCAGTAAGGGAAAGATGGTCCCCTCCTGTGACTCAACAGTGCAATTCATAGCAAAATATGCTGCACATTACTGAGTGCATTCAGCTGGCACAAAGCACAACCATACCTCATCTAAACACATCAATCCTCCCCATGTAGAATCATAGGCTTTTTCAATAAATGCTCTCCGGACTCCCAACGTCCAACCTGCCACACCAATTTCACCCATTAATTCATCCTACTACTGTACTAGTCTTCGTCATCACTCTCCCCCCAGCGTCCGCCATCACCCGTCTCATAATCACTGTCCAAGGCATACTCATGCTCAATATCCTCATCTTCACCACCACTCTCCTCATCCTCACCACCACTCTCCTCTTCCCAATTCCCAACTTCCAACCTGCCACACCAACTTCGCCATTTGATTCATCCTTCTAGTCATCATTCACTCTCCTCCCCCCAGCCTCCGCCATCACCCATCTCATAATCACTGTCCAACGCATACTCATGCTCAATATCACTATCTTCACCACCACTCTCGTCATCCTCCCCACCACTCTCCTCATCCTCACCGCCACTCTCCTCTTCCTCTGATGACTCCCCGCCTGCCTCTTCCCTTTCACCAGCCACATCGCCTCCCTCCTCCCCCTCATCCTCTTCCGCATCCCCTTCCTCCCCCTCCCCCTCCTCTCCCTCCTCTACTCTCCTTACAAAAACTCCTCTCATGTCTCGCCTGGGCAGCAAAGGGCATTCACTGATGCGGCACTCCCGCAGCGACGGCATTTTCCTAAGAAAAGAGGGCAACCGAGTCAGCTTCTTGCACGCACACACCTCCAGCTCCTCAAGCTTAGGCAGCTGGGTGAACGAATCTGGCAAGCTTTGCAACTGCTTCAATCCCAGAATCAGCAACTTCTGGAGGGAAGACAGCTTCCAGATGTCATCAGGGATGATTGAGACTCCGAGCTTGATAAAAGAGCAGGATCGCAGCTTGGATAAATTCACAAACGAATCCGGAAGCTGCATCAGCTTGAAGCAATCGATAATCTCCAGTGTCTCGAGCTTTTTCAGCTGCCCGAGAGACTCGGGCAGCTGCCGCATTGTCGTGAGGTAAACCAGCTGCAAGACACGCAGCCCTGCCAGCCCTCCAAGGGTTTCGGGCAGTGCTTTCAGAATAGAAGCAGAATCAACCTTAAGCCTTTGCAGATGCGAGAGTTGAGAGATGGAATCAGGGAGAGACTCAAGCCTGTCCATTTCCAGAAGCTTCAGCTGGGTCAGAGAGGATAGACGACCAAGTGACGGGCCAAAGGACTCAACATTAAGCTCCTTTAACTTCAGGCTCTGAATGGAAGGAAGCAGAGGGCGACTGCTGCTGCGGCTGGTGCTGCCGGTGCTGGTCACAAAACCCCTAGCAGTACGTCTAAGCACTTTCTCATCGCCTAGCACCGCACTTAACCCATCACATCCCCGCACGTCCAGCGCCCGCAGACAAGGCAGGTCAAGAAGCGACGGAGGGAGACAAATCAGGCCGTCCATCCCAAAGATCCTGACCTCCTCCAGCTTCTCCAGCCGTCCGATTCCCTCAGGCAGGACCGTTACTTTAGGGCAATTCCCCACTTCCAGGGTGGTGAGGGAAGAAACACCCGAGAAGGAGGCAGGAAGGGAGGATAGGCGCGGCATAGAGCCGAGCGACAGCTCCTTGAGGCTCTTCAAACTCCCAAAGCCGTCTAGCAGCGCCCCCCTGAAGCGTTTCGCGCATCGGATCCGGAGGGTTTCGAGAGACGTCAGACCAGAGAAGGATGGAGGGAGGTGGGTGAGAGCGGTGCAGTCCAGTAGAAATAAATGGCGCAAGGAGTGCAGACCCTTTCCCATGTCGTCTGGCAACACCGTGAGGCGCGGCGAATATTCCAACTCGAGGTGCTCGAGAGAAGATAGCTGCGATAGGGAGTCCGGGAGCTGCTGCAGATTTCCACACTCCAAAAACTTCACCTCCCGAAGAGCTGCCAGCTGTCCGAAGGATTCGGGCAGATGTGTGAGCTGCGGAAGGCGCTTCAGGCACAGCTTCTCCAAAGAAACCAGCTGCCCGAACTCTTGGGGCAGATGTGTCAGATTCAGTAGATCAGTGAGGGAGAGCTCTTTCAGTGTGGTAACCAGAGCGATGGAATCAGGTAAGGCTGTGAGACTCCTCAGGTTCAGCACGAGCGTTCGAAGCACTGACAGCTGCCCGAGATCTTCGGGCAGCACTGAAAGTCGTCCCATGTCAAGGTTGAGTTCGGTGAGTGCAGGCACGCGGGGAAGAGACACGGGCAGAGTCGTGATATCACTACACTCCTTGATGATCAGGGTCTTCACTCGCTGCAAATGCTCCAGGGCCCCAATTAAGCTGCGCATTCCCGTGACTTCAACAAGAATGACGGAGTCGAGAACCCCCAATTTACTGAAATCAACCCGCGATGTAGGAGGGATCCTGCAATGTCGAACCTCCAGGACGGCGAGAGAAGAAAGCTTGGTAAAAGAAGCCGGCAGCTGCAACGTCGAGCAGTGACTTAAGGAAAATCGGTTCAGAGCGGTAAGCTGCCCGAAAGATTCCGGAAGAGACCCCACGCGGCAATTGTGCAGCTGCAGAGACGTTAACGAGCTCAGATTGCCGAAATCCCGAGGCAAAGCTTCGAGCCTATAAGCGTTCAGCACGAGGCTTCTGAGAGACCGTAACGAGGTAAAAGTGTCGGGAAGACGCGTAAAGCCGCCTCTGAGGGTTAAGTTCCTGAGCCTTGCGAGTCGGTTGATGGACAGGGGAATTGGAACCAAGCTCGAACAATATAGATCGAGATCTTGCAGCTGCGTACACCCCTCGAACAGCGTAAGGAGGCTCTTCTCAGATAGAGATCCACGTGGCATCGGTTCGACACAAAGCTGTGTCAGATGCGGACACGTGCTGACGAGGCGAGAGAAGAACAAGCTAGAGGCGGAGGTGAGGCTGTTTGAGGATAGAATGAGCTTTCTGAGGTTCGTGAACAGCGACAGAAGCTGAACGAGCCGACGCGGATCCATACGAAGGTTACTGGCAAAGTGAAGCTCGTATTGCACGCGGTAAGCGAGGCGATGCCATTGCTTGGAGACAAGTGCGTGCCCCAGCTTGCCATCAGGTCGAACCAGGAAAAAAAGGATCCGAGAAAGAACATCTTCGGGTAACCGCTGGATAGATGATTCGACTGCCATTGTGAAAGGAGGAGAAAACAAAACAACTGAGACCGTTCACCTCGTCCGCTACTTATTAGGTATCTGACTCCTAATCGTCTACCAAGCTATCAGTCACGAGACAAAAAAGTGAACAATCACGATTCACAAGAGAGGCAAGCGGATAGGGTTCTGTCAAGAGGAGACCTTGGGCTTGCCAGTGGCATGGCACCGTGTTCAACCGCTCAGTTTCTCTGGAACCGTTCCCGCCTAAATCTCCCACGTAACACCACATTTGCGAAAAGGACGGCGAGGCGTCTTTCGCGACTTTTCGCCAAGAGAATGATGGCAGCGAAACAATTCATATCCTAGAGATAACATGAAATACTGGGAATTTCAGAATGTGAACAGACTACAGTATGTGCTTATGCATGTGGGTGAGAAAGACTCATCTCTTCTAGTCGTGAACCACCATGATAAACATGAAACCAACTCCCCTTTTTATGCGAGACTAGCCTACCAGTTCCCAATCTCATCTCCCACCGAATACCATATCACACCTCCCCACTCGACCATAACAACCTCCTTTCGCCTTGTTCCTCCAGTCCTTCGCATTCTTCACAACTAAATTAAAAGCGCTGGTGATGCTTGTTCAGCTCTGCACACTTACTACTGTACCACTATGAGAGCTTGGTAAGGTAGCGTGCAATATCAGGGTCGTCCAGAGGAACATCGAGGTCCCCTCGTATGCGGAACAGCTGCTTCACAAAGAGAGGTGGCTCCTCCGCCTTCACTCGACTCAATGCAGCCTCGAACTGTTCTTTTGTACCGAATTTCTCTGAAGAGTGTATGAGGGAGGCAAAGGGGGGTGTGGGCGAAAAGGAATGGAGAACATTTCACAAAGAGAGGTGGCTCCTCCACCTTCACTCTGCCTAACGCCGTCTCCAGCTGCTCCTTTGTTCCACTAAGAGAGGTGGCTCCTCCACCTTCACTCTGCTTAATGCTGCCTCCAGCTGCTCCTTTGTTCCGAATTTCTCTGGAGTCCGGAAGGGGGAGGCAAAGGAGAGTGTGGACAAAAAGGAGTGGAAAGTATTTCACAAGAGAGAAGCGGCACCTCCGCCTTCACTCGACTCGATGCCGCCTGCCACTGCTCCTTGCTGCCGAGTTGCTCTGGAGGGGGGAGAGAGGGGGAAGGGGGACATGAGGCAACATCAGGAGAGGCGGCTCGTCCGCCTTCACTCGACTCGATGCCGCCTGCCACTGCTCCTTGCTGCCGAAATTCTCTGGGGAGAGGGGACGAGAGGAATTGGAAGGTGAGGGAGGAAAGGATTATGGGGTGGGGAATGAGAGAAAATGGGAGTGAATGGAAGGGAATGAGAGGGAATGAGAGGAAAGGGAACGAGAGGGACTGAGTGGGAATGAGAGGGAAGGGAATCAGAGGGAGTGACAGGGAACGAGAGGGAATGATAGGGAACGGGAGGGAATGGATGGAAATGAAAGGGAATGAAGGAATAATAACGCTGTACCACTACAAAAACCCCCCAAGGGAAGGAAACGGGAAGACGGGAGTGTAAGCAAAAAAGGGTGGGTGGTGGGGAAGCATCGAGGAACGCATCTGGACGTGGGGAGGCTAAGATGGTCAAGAGAGAAGGACGGGGGGGAGGGGAAAAAGGAAGAAGGGGACAGGGGAGCAGAATTCAGAGAGGAATCGGAAGAGAGGGGAGGATGATGTAAATGATGATCTTTCGAGAAATCTTAGGATACCTTGCACTCGGTCAAGCGCTCTGGCAACGGCGGGATCAAGGCGAGGCAGCGTGGGAAGCACGCCCGTGGCGAGAACCTCGGGAGTGAGCTCTACCTCTGTGCTGCTGTGCCGTGCACCCGATGCCATGCTTCCGCTGCTGATAGATGGGTAGAAGGGGAGGGGAACAGGGAGGATCGAGTGCAGGATTGAGGCAGCGTATCTGTGCTACGTGCCACCATTTGCCCTGCTGGCGTGAGGGGGTGGAAGGGAGGGGGTGGAAGGGAGGGGTTGGAAGGGAGGGGGTGGAAGGGAGGGGTTGGAAAGGAGGGGGTGGAAGGGAGGGGGTGGAAGGGAGGGGGTGGAAGGGAGGGGGTGGAAGGGAGGGGGTGGAAGGGAGGGGGTGGAAGGGAGGGGTTGGAAAGGAGGGGGTGGAAGGGAGGGGGTGGAAGGGAGGGGGTGGAAGGGTGGGAAGCACGCCCGTGGCGAGAAACTCTGGAATCAGCTCCACTTCCGTGACTGTACTGCGTGCTGCCGCAGATGCCATGCTGCTGGGGGGAGAGGAGAAGGGGAAGGAGGAGGAAAGAGCGTGAGAGGCACAGCCCCATGGAAATGCAGGGCTCTCGTCAACACCCTGGCGAGGCTTTCAAACAATCGAATTCTACCTCAAACTCCTGTAAAAGAGAGTCAAGCTCTCGTATGGCGCTTCTCTTTTTCGAGTCAGACTAAAAAATCGGCTCAACCCTCATGTAACGCTGCGAGCAAAGGGAGTCGGTAATGAGGTTGCCTGGTAGCTGCCTGGCATTCTGACGCTTTCGGCCCACCCGCACAAGGGAATACTGCAAACTCTAGCTCGTTTTAGAGAGATTTCGAATGAACGGAAAGACAATACGATACAGGAAAATGTTTCCCTGTATGATTCCGTTTTTCCGTGAGTGGACGTCTATCATACCACGGAAACCGAGCCTTACCGAAGCTAATGGCTTGTCTACTCGAGACGGAGCAGGGACCAGGACAGGTTCGCCTGATGCGCCAAGGTATAATGGGGAGTAAGAGCGCGGCGCGACGGTGAAAGAGGAGGTGGACGTGCGTACGCTGTTAGGAAAACACGGTAAGGTAAGAAACTGTCACTCATACGGTATCAAGGTTCTGTACAAGATTTTTAAATATACGGTACGCATGTTTTGCTCCATGTTTCCTTCCTGCCATGGGTGTCCACCATTTGGAAGGTAAGAACACGTGCAGGATTATGCATGAAGATCTAATGGGTATATTATTTCAGGCACTACTGGTTGAGTCTGGTGGTATCTGCAAACCATTTGAAGGAAAATGAATCAATTCACAAGCCTAAGAAGACAATTTGTCAGTACAAACCTCAATAACAACCAACCTTAGTAGGGCCATCGGCCAAAGCTGTATTAAACAAAAACCTTACTGGAAATGCCATCATTGCACCTGCCCTGCCGTCCTCTTAGCCCCACAAAAGCTGCTGGTTTCCACAAGCTGCAAGAAGCAGAGTGGAGTGGTACCAAACCATACATACCAGCCATCCAACAAACGCAACCCCTCTGCCCCACCCCCCCTTCCCCCCTAGCACAACCAAATCACCATCCTGTGGCTGTTCAGATCTGCATATGCAACAATCACATCCGCATCAGTCACATCTGCCACAGTCACTCCCCTCCCCGTCTTCATTGCCCCCCAGGCGGGGGGGGCATGCCTGGGCGCGGGGGGCCATACATCCCCGGATGCCCCCCTGGCGGAGGGGGCATCCCCGGCCTGGGCGGACCCATCATCCCTGGCGGAGGCATTCCCCCCGGCGGGGGCATTCCCCGCCCGTACTGCATCGGCGGCGCACCGCCTGGCGGAGGGCCGCGCGGGGGGAATTGCGGAGGCGGACCGCCAGGGGGACCGTAACCGGCGGGCGGGGGAGGCATGCCCGGGCGCGGGGGACCCTGGGGGTACATGGACGGGGGAGGGCCCATCCCGGGCGGGCGCATTCCGCCTGGCGGGGGGGGCATCCCCGGCCGCGGCGGAGCTCCCCCAGGGAAACCCGCGGGCGGGGGGAACGAGACGGGAGGCGGACGGCCAGGAGCAGCGCCAGCCGCGCCTCCAGGAGCCTGGTACGAGATCGGCGGAGCCGCAACTTGCGGGCGCGGCTGCATCAACGACGGCGCCGGTCCCCCCACTCCACGCGCGGGCCCCGCCAAGCCGGGCTGCGCTTGACCGAGCGGAACCGTCGGAACTCCGCGCCCTGCCGCGCGCCCAACACCGGGTCCCCCTGCCGCTGCGCCGGCGGCTCTACCACGGTTCTCATCCTGCGGCGGCGGGCCTTCGACGGTAAGACTAACTACCTCCTCCCCGCGGAGAATAAGTAGCCCTAATGTCCGGCGCTCCTCGCGGTCCTCCGGCGCCTTGGAGCCCTTTTTGGGTGGCAGCTTGCGGAACTCCTCGCAGTCCCCAAGGACGAGGTTCATGTGGCGATCGTAGGCCATGAATTTCCCGACGAGCTCGCGGCCATCGGTGACGGTCACGCGCATGCGGTAGTTGATGTACTGTAGCAGCTTAGATCCCTTGGACATCGACATGGCGCCTCGATTTTCAGCGCCGTCGACGTAGGGAAAGGGGATTAGTTATCAAAAGGACGACTAGTCAGATCATACGTACTAGAGTTATGAAGACACGACTGAAGGGGGGCAAGTACTAGCGGGACTGACGGGAACGAAGACACCAGAAAATATGTCGAGCTTTAGGGTTGAGCCTCTCTTTAGATGAGAAGCGGGACAGCCATTTGCTGGTCGGACAGTGTAACATGTTTGAAGTGTGTGAGGAATATAAATGCATGTTGCTATCCCCGCTACAATTCACTCGAAATTTGTGCTCCTCTGTGGTGCTGGGAAATTTTTAGGTGCCGTACAAGAATGTGTAAACAGAATAATTCACATATCAGATAGCAATGTATCTTATCATCCCACATTGTACGACGTGATGATTCGTTCTAGAAATATAAATCAAGAATAACATATACAGTTATTCTTGGTGTGTACTTGATTACCTCATGTGGATAAGAGGTCCGAAGTCCATAGCAGGATTGCTGCTTCTCGGTGTATATGTCCCAGATATCTTGCCGCGTATGTCAGAATCGCAATAGAGCACATGGCTCAGTGGCCAATGGTGGCGCCAAGTTCTGTCAGCGCGACGAGGAATCCCGCACTGACAGGTCGAACAGCCTGCTTTTCCTGATCGAATGGGTTCGGTCGCACGTCCACTTTGAGTCGCTGCTGGCGACTGTCTGACGACTTTTGAAACCTCGGGGTCGCCGTCGACCTGCGTTTCGCGAAAAGCAGTTCCGGTCGCACATATTCGAAAAACTCTGTGCATCCCTGGCGACAATCTGACCAGTGGAGGGAAGCCTTGATTGAGCCTTGCGATGCGATGACCATCAAGGTCTTGCGACGGACTCGCTTCGCAGGCAAGCCCATCAATTCTTCCCCGCGACCATCCCATCCGACCCATTTGAGGCACCTGCATCTGGTTTCCTAGATTCTACCATCTCTGCTTCTCAAGTCACCTACTAGTCGATTTACACATATCTTCGCAGAATTTAGTGTTATCATTTGAAGTCGCTGCTCCATTCTGCTGTCTTAGCTTCTCTGCGGTTTCTTACCCTAGCTGGTCGATAGGGCTATTGTCATCATGCCGCAGATCCAGTATTCTGAGAAATATTTCGACGACGTCTACGAGTACAGGTATCCAACTTGTTACCGCTTGTCATCCATCCGAGTGCAGGACAGCAGCCGAACTAGTAGTCCATGGCCCTGAAACTGAACGTTTCGTTTTGTCGGGTGCCTCTTGCAGGCATGTAGTTCTCCCTCCTGATGTGGCGAAGTTACTTCCGAAGAACAGGCTGCTGTCCGAGGTAATTGTTGTCATTGGTGTTCGGACTGAGAATATGGCATGCATGGTCAGAGTTCCAACCTGACAGTTTTTTTGTTGCTGGTGTTGACTGTCTGCAGGCTGAATGGAGGAGCATTGGCGTGCAGCAATCTAGAGGATGGGTTCACTACGCTATTCATCGGCCCGAACCTCACATCATGCTTTTCCGTCGGCCACTGAACTATGGACAGCAGGTTCAGCCGCCGACGCAGCAACTTCAGCAGCAAGTAGGAGCATAAGATACTACTGCGGCGACCACATACGGCTGGTGCAGAGGATTTGACCGAACAAGCGTCACCACTCCTCTGTCGCCAAGCATAACCTGTGTCTAGGAAAAAAACAATCTGTCAATACTCAACGCCTAGTTGCGATTCCTTATTTCTTTCTATTTTATATTAAGAGGTTCCCACTTAGATGTCATCCAGGCTTTGCTGCACATCTTCCATGCACAGTATGCTTGTTACCATGCTCTAAAGCTTCATAACCTAGTGAAGGATGTTCCTGTTTTATCTAGGAACTCCAGCTGGTAGATTATTTTAGTACATAATAAATAACAGGCAACCACTGTCATGGAGGAGACAAGGCAGTTTGGCTGGCTAAAACAGATCATGTCTCACACTCGTGATCAGCCAGATCCCCCCTTACTTTGCCGGAATAATGATCCTTCATTATCGAAGAGAGCCATGCTACACCATATCATCTCAGTATGTGTCAGCAGAGTCTGAAAAATCATCAGAGCGCTCAAACATTGCATGAGAATCACACTAGTGACAGCATTTCACGTCTACCTATCTCCAAAGGTAACCTTTTTTCTGATCATAGTTGAACACAAAGCCACTCAAAGCAACTGTACAGCAGCAATCGATGGAATTTTCTCCCTGAGCTTCTGGGTAACAGCCACTCTGACCGTCATTACTCCTGCTGCGGGCCCATCGATCCTGACCTTCACAATCGGAGGATCAATCTTCACAAGAGTCAGCTCCCCACCACCCGTTCCTACCAAATATGGCCTGATCTCGGACAGCACCTGAAAGCAAAAAGGAAACTATCAGTACACATCTCTGAACAAAAAACACATCATAATCAGGTAAAACACGATGCATTAACCACAGAAAGACTCTCACCTTTTCTACATTCTCCTCGTCCAGTGGAAGGCCCGTCTCCTGGTCCGTGATCTGCTCGACAGAGACTATCTCTGGAATCTTCTCCATCAACCTCCGTTCGATCCCCATCTTCATGGTCATCGTGGAACTCGGGCACGAGCCACACGCACCCTGAAGCCGCAGCTTCACGACGAGACCGTCAATGTCGTACAATTCCACATTGCCGCCGTCCGCCATCAAGTACGGTCGAACCTCGTCAAGAACCTTCTCGACGTTTTCCTCAGTCAGCTCCAAACCCTCGGTAGAGACATCGCCTTGTGAAGCAAGAGCAGCTGCTGCAGTACACAATAGCAAGGATGCTCAATTGCTCCGGCTACCTGACATGATGAAAATTTTGCGAGAGTTTTATGCCAGCGTACCTGTAGGTTCTCTTCTGGAGTACCTCTGCTCCCCGATACTCTCCGCGTTTCTGGCTAGGGGTGCAGCACGAAACTGCATGGTAGAAACGCTTCCCGTCATAAGCTATACAAGTTGAAGAAGACAATACGACTGGAAATGACGTGATCCACGAGCTAAGCCTCACCTGTCGACCTAGACGTGATGGAGCGATTGCTGAACTGACTAACGTCGATGCTTCCCTGACGACGCCACTGAATGGAGCGAGACGAAGCGAGATAGTTGCCATTGTTCAACGGAACTTTGATAAGAAAGAATTGGCTAGCTGCGTCAACAAGATTTTACCCGCTCCACCACACAATTTTCAGCAGCTCCTAAAAAAAGGAGCAGAGTAAACTTGTGTAATTGCTGTTCACGCAAGGTTGCTGTAATTGCGATTCTAGTCACTCTGCTTCAAGACCGCCGACCCTCCGTTCACGCCGCTCACGCAACGTTGGGCGACACTCTCCAGAGTCACGCAAGGACTCTTCTGAGGTTACGGGATTACTGCGCCTGGCACGCACAGCTGAATGGCTAGGCTGGGCTAGGGGTGCGCACGTACCAGAGGGAAGGGTTGTGGGGTGGTTGTAGGGGACGGACGGGGTGGGGGAAATGGGGGGTATCTGGAGGAGGAACCTGTGACCTGCACGAGACTGGCTTCCTGGTTGCTGTTCGATTCAAGCATGCTCGGGAAAAGGCAATGTCGACTCCAGTGTTTTTATGACACTTGGCACAATAAGGTGACGTGGCAGTTGTCGGTAGTTATGCTATTTGCGAGTGGCTGTGTTCGTGTACGAAGCAACACTAAACCCATAGGTTGTTATGAGTTGTAAAAGAGAGTGCGCAGGTAAACGAATAACGAGACTGTGACTGAATCAACTGAGAATGAATGCACTGACTAATGTAGGGCTAGCCTAGCTAGGAGGAAACCTCGGACGAGCGAGGTTGGGTGCAGGTTTGGCGATGGAAATGCCGAAGGCGACGCGAGGAGCCTTGGCAGCGTTGAAATCGGCCGAACGTGCGAACTCCGAAAATCGGGTTGTACGCGAAGCAGTCAACCCCGATAAGGAATTCGGGAAAATTCCTTACACCACCCCCCCCCCCTTAAGAAAGGCGGTTGTTACGATGTGAAGTTTTATGAGAAGGCATTCCTGTATGCTGCAGGAGCCGACTCTACCGAGTACGAAGTTGAGGAGTCAGAAGAGCCGAAGCGACGCAGCAACCGTCAGACCTGTTGGGCTGAGATAGCCCCTTAGGATCTTTGCAAGGGATAACTCTAGGTGAAGTAGTTGTAATAGCGGAAGCGTTTAGTGAAGAATTTGAACCGACCTTGCACTGGTGTGTGAGAGCAAAGTTGATTGAATTAAACAAGCAAATACAAGGATTTATATAAGAGTACAGGGAATAGATAGATAACTGTATTGCTGTTGCGGTTCGATATAGCGCGACTCGGGCAACTGCTCTGTAACGAGTCAGTTGTGTGTCCTTAACTGTCGCGCTGTAATTGTCGAGTCAAAGGTCAGCGACCTTTGACTTTCTCGTAACCTCCAGGCGGTTACTCTAACCTCCGAGGTTGACTCGATGCTTCGATTGGGACTGCTTCGCTTGGTACCTTGGATTTTGATACGACAGAAGCGCACTTAGGACTTATTGTTTCCAACACTCCCCTTCGCTTCTGGAGTGTTACTGCTGGTGACGTGGCCTTGTCCAGTCAGCATCATGCAGTATTCGAACTTCTGCTTGCCGAGTTTCTTGGTCAAGTAATCGGCTGCCATCTCGGATGTTGGACAGTATGACAGATCGAGTTTCCCTTTTTCTATCTCGTCCTTCACGAAGAAATAGCGCAGGGCGATGTGTTTCGTCCTGTTTGCGAAGCCGTTTTTGTTGGCGATGCGAATTGCTGACTGGTTGTCGCAGAACACGGTGAAGCTGGGTAACTCGGCTAGCTTCGCTTCTTCCAGTAGTTCGCGAAGGTAAAGTCCCTCCTTGGTGGCTGAGCAGAGTGCAATATATTCTGCTTCTGCTGAAGATAGTGCGATTAACTCCTGCTTGCTCGACTGCCAGGAGATAGGACCGATAGGCTCAAGGCGGTAGACATAGCCGGTGCGTGAGCGCCTGTTGTCGGTGTCGCCGGCGTGATCGGCGTCGACGTAGCCGATTAGCTTAGTCGGTGTAGCTGCGCTCTTGTGGTAGGTTAGCCCGATCGTCGCGGTGCTGACGAAGTAGTGGAGAGCGCGATCATGTTCCGCCAGGTGTTCAGCTTCAGGCTTCTTGAGATAGGTGGCGAGCTGACTTGCGGAGTAGGATAAGTCAGGACGGCAGGTGACGGCGGCGAATAGCAGGCATCCGAGCTTCTTCTGATAGTCGCGTATGCCGGCGGGCTTGAGTAGAGTAGTTCGTTCCTTCTCGGTTCCTGATGTGTAGCGGTAGGGCGTGGAGATGGCGCTTGGTGTGAGGCTGAAGCGTTTCGCGATGGTGTCGGCGTATTTCTCGGCGCTTAGATAGATGGCGTTTTCTTCTTCGCGGATGTTGAGCCCGAGGTACTGTGTAACGGTGGAGGAGACCGTGAGCGTGAGGTCTTTCTGGAGCTCTCCTTCGAACCACGTGGCGATGCCGTCGGTTGACCCAATGTAGAGGAGATCGTCCACGTAGACGATCAGGAGAACGTAGTCGCTTCCCTTAGTGAGGCGGTACATGCCTTGGTCGTGAGGTAGTTGACTAAAGCCGATGCGGATGAGACGGGCGTGCAGGTACTGCTGCCACAGTCGCGGTGCCTGCTTGATCCCGTAGAGCGACTTAAGTAGTTGACAGATTCGGTTGGGTTCGCCGTGGGAACCGTGCGGGAGCTCGACGTAGATTTCTGCATCCACAGGTGCGTAGAGGAAGGCATTCGCGACGTCGATCCGCCGTAACTTCTTCTTCTTCATGGCGGCAATGGCGAGGAGAATTCGGAGTGACGTGTGGCGGCTGACTGGAGCAAAGGTCTCGGTGAAGTCTCGTCCTTGCTCTTGGTCGAATCCACGTACGACCCAGCGTGCTTTGAATTTTTCGATCGTGCCGTCTGCTTTCGTCTTGATGCGGAAGACCCATTTCCCGGTAAGGATGGTTTTGTTCCGTGCCACGCTTACGGGAACAACCTTCCAAGTGTTGCGTTCCTCTAATGCCTTCAGTTCTCTATCCATGGCTTCACGCCATTTCTCCCTGTGTTCCCCCCCCAGAGCCTGCTGAACCGTTGCAGGCTCCTTAGGAAGCGAGCTGCGTGTGTTCCTGTGGACTGCGGTGACGAGGCCGAGGATTTGCAGCCCAGTCTGTGAGTATCGAGGGAGTTCTGGATCCTCGGGATAAGCTGCTTCGTCTCCCGTTTCTGGATCAGGGATGAAATTCGGTCCTATCCTTTCTGCTTCATTTGTGTTGACGGTTGCAGGTGTTACGTAACCGGTGTCGGCGAAGTGGTAGAAGACTTCGGCGTTGTTACTGTCGCGAGGATTTTCTTCGTCCATGGGCACGTTGACGGAGCAGTACGGGAGAGTTCCGGCTTCTGCCGATGCGTTGTCAACATTCTGCTCGTCCCAGTCTGCTTCATCCGCTGCTGACGCGAAGGCTCGGTCACCACGAAAACCACTGGTGAGGTCCCGATTCTCGTGCAAGTTGGCGAGGTATGTCTGAAGGGTGAGTCTTTCGTAGAAGATCACGTCACGTGCTGCTACTGTTTCCTTTGTGTGGACGTCGAAGATTCTCCATGCGTTGTAATTTTTCTCAATGCCGAGGTGTAGTCCCCACTGTGCCCGTTGCGAAAATCTTCCCGCTCTTGCTTCTGGGGGTCTGTACTGTACCATGCACCCGAAAACTCGTAACATTTTCGTGCTGCCCTGCTTCCCTGTCCACAGCAGATGCGGTGATGCGTTGTTCGGGAGTGACGACGACAACAACAAGTTGTGCAGCATGACAGCGTGGTCCATTGCTGCTGGCCACTGGTGGTTGGGTAGCCGCATGCCACGTAACAGTTTGCGCATGCTGTTCTGCAGGGTCCTGTTCAGTCGTTCTGCAACACCTTGCTGCTGATGTGCGTAGGGAAGGGAGAGGAGTTGCTTGATCCCCCTTTCCGCCAAGAACTGCTTGAAGCGGTGAGAGGTGTACTCGCCACCTCCGTCTGACTGGAAATTTTTCAGTTGTGTTCCAGACTCTCTCTCTGCTATCGGTAGCCAGGCGGCGAATGCTGCGAGCGCCATGTCGCGGCTGGGTAGGTTGCGATGCCAGACGTATCGAGTGGCGGCGTCGATGAAGGTGATGGTGTAGTTGTAGTTGACTTGTCCTGGTTCGCGATTGTAGAGGATGTCGCTGTAGACTTTTTCGAGTGGTGCGTACGCTGGAGCGCTCGGGTTGTGATGTGAAGCAAACGGTCGATGAGGTAAGTCAGCTTCGGGACATATAAGGCAAGTCCCTCGTGCCTTCTGGAGTTCTCTGCCATCGGGTAGAAGTAGAGAATCTTTGTCAAGGACTCCTGCTCTTATCGTGTTATTCAAAACCGTGTTGCTTGGATGTCCTGTTCGTGCGTGCCAGATCTCTTCAGAGGCGCGGTGTCCAGGTGAACGCTGATATGCGTCGGAGTTGGAGTAAAAGCTGGCGACGAGGTTGGCGCTTCGGTGGACTTCACGTTGAGTCGGATTCAGCTGTTGCGCGGGTGTTGGTGGTGC